TAATTCCTCCTCACTTTCTGCCATCAAGGTTGTGTCATCTGCATATCTGAGGTTGTTGATATTTCTTCTGGCAATTTTAATTCCGGCTTCGGATTTATCCAGCCCAGCCTTTCTCATGATTAATTCTGCATATAAGTTAAATAAGCAGGGGGACAATATACAGCCTTGCTGTACTCCTTTCCCAATTTTGAACCAATCAGTTGTTCCATATCCAGTTCTAACTGTAGCTTCTTGTGCCTGCTCTCCATTCCCCCTACAGAAGGGATTGACAACGTAGGCAAACTCAGCCCTCCAGATGTTCTGGGACTACAATTCCCATCATGACTGACCACTGGTCCTGTTAGCTAGGGATCATGGGAGTTGTAGGCCAAAAACATCTGGAGGGCCAAGTTTGCCTCTGCCTGATGTAGTGCTTGCTGGCCTCTTTGTGACCCCCTGGACCGGAGCCCACCAGGCCCTCCTGTCTTCCACTGCCTCCCTCATGTTGGTAGCCTCGAGAACACGGCCCCACGCAAGATGTAGGTCACAACATTATGATGGAAGATTGGGGAAAATTATGGAAAACTGATTTCAAATTTACAGATTGTTCCCTACTGAAGGAGACTTACATGAAGATGATGTACAGATGGTACACGACACCAGTGCAGTTAGGGAAAATGTACAAAACTAGTTTAAATATATGTTGGAAGTGTAAGGAAAAGGAGGGGACATTTTATCATATGTGGTGGGACTGTAATGTAATTTTTAAAAATTGGGAAATGATATACAATGAATTGAAGAAAATGTTCCATTTAACATTTGTTAAAAAACCTGAAGCATTTTTGTTAGGGATTGTAGGGAAAGATCTGCCAAAAAAGCTGAAAAACATTTTCTTGTATGCGACAACAGCCATGAGAGTTTTAATAGCACAAGGATGGAAGACTGAAGAAACTCCAACTAAAGAATCATGGCTAGAAAAATTGATGGACTATGCAGAACTGGCAAAACTGACATACAAGCTACGGGACAAGGATAACTGTGACTTGAGATGAATGGGAACCCTTTAGAAAAGTATTTAAAGATGCAACAAAGCAAACTGGACCCCTTGGCTGGTTTTGAATAAACATTCACAAACTTTTTTAATCAGCTAAATAGTTTGAGGATCTATACAACTGTATAACATGCAGAAAACAGCATTCTTAGAGAAATCAAAGACTGGAACTGAGGGAAGTCCGGGGTGGGGTTGTGCGGGAGGGTGGGAGGAGGGAGGGAGGAAAAATAGGGGGGGGGAGTAAGGATGATATGTTTTTGGATAATATGTTTTGTTTTAATTTTGAATAAAAAAAAGTTTGTTTTTTTTAAAAAAGAGAGAACACGGCCCCACCATCTCATCCTCTGAGTGACCCCTTCTCATGTCCCCTTCCCATGTCCAGTTGTTCCAGCAGAACTCTGAGGCCAGAGCAGCTCCAGAAGCGCCGTCCCTTCTTCGGAGTCCACCAGTTCAAGGTCCTGAACGTCCCGATTTGTGCAGCTAGGGCCTGCAGTGGCCTCTGCAAATTCCAAGCATTAAATGGATGCCCATGAGGAAGATTTCCTGGGTGGCTAGCTAAGCAAACAACAACAGACCCCAACAGTGTGACGCGGCAGCTAAAAAAGCCAATGCAATTCTGGGCCGCATCAATAGGAGTATAGCATCTAGATCAAGGGAAGTAATAGTGCCACTGTATTCTGCTCTGGTCAGACCTCACCTGGAGTACTGTGTCCAGTTCTGGGCACCACAGTTCAAGAAGGACACTGACAAACTCGAACGTGTCCAGAGGAGGGCAACCAAAATGGTCAAAGGCCTGGAAACGATGCCTTATGAGGAACGGCTAAGGGAGCTGGGCATGTTTAGCCTGGAGAAGAGGAGGTTAAGGGGTGATATGATAGCCATGTTCAAATATATAAAAGGATGTCACATAGAGGAGGGAGAAAGGTTGTTTTCTGCTGCTCCAGAGAAGCAGACACGGAGCAATGGATCCAAACTACAAGAAAGAAGATTCCACCTAAACATTAGGAAGAACTTCCTGACAGTAAGAGCTGTTCGACAGTGGAATTTGCTGCCAAGGAGTGTGGTGGAGTCAGGGACGCGGACTTATAAAAAATATTGGGGGGGCCCGGGAAAGCTCATGAATAATAAATAAGCTCATGAATTTGGAGGCTCGCCTAAATTAGGCAAGCACGCCCCCCAGGCGATTGCTGGCAGACCTGATGGCCATGTCGGATCCTGCTCTGAGGGTGAACGCCTAGGAGGAGGATTCCCCCCGTGCCTTGGCAGTGGCGGTGGTGTTCGAAGCGCGAGCAGGAGCCCGCCCCGGCGCTCCCGAGATGGGGGGCTGAGCCCCCCAAAAAAAATTTTGATGGCTCGAGCCCTCAAGCCCATGTTCGGCCATGGGACTGGTTCCTCTTTGATTCGATGAGTCTACAACCAGTCAGGAGCTTGATGGTGTTTCTGCTGGCAGGGTTGGACTCGTGGCCCTTTGGTCTCTCCAACTCTATGATTCGAGATCTAACTGATTGGGGTGTCACCAGCTTGCTGCTCCTGCTCAAAACTCCTACTCCTTTGTGAACTTTTTAAAGAAATGCACAGCAACACTATGGGCTGCTCATCTGTAGGGTGCTACAAGCCACTGATCCTACAAGCCATTGATCCTGCTGGCTGCTCCCGGCTTCCTGTTTCTGGCGGTGGGAAATGGCGGACTCCCACAAGATCGGACCCCAGCCGTTCCGATAATTCAGGGCTGATATGGGGTGTATGAGCCCTGGCAGCCTCAAAGACCCGCGGATTGTCTGAGAATGCCGGCGTGCACTAAGGTGCAGCTGGCGGGACACTGGGTTAACGAACACAGAACGACTGGCGCTCCTTCGATGTCATTCTCATAGCCGGGAGCATCTGTTTGGGAATATTAATAGATTTGGACGATAAACAGACACGGCTGGATCGAAAGAGCGTGAGGAAAAGCCTGCAGAAGTGTACAGTTCCTGGGGGTTAAGTTCGGACTTCAAAGAGATTCTCATCAAGGTGTGTGGATTACGTTTGGTATGTTTTTTCCCCTTTCTCTACTCAACAATTATAATTGGTCTTTTATGCCAAGCCTCATTAAGAATATAAACTTTTAAAAAAGAGTACAGATGGACTTTTATTTATAATTAGGCATTTAACTGCTCAGCTTCATTTCGGATTTGAGAGATCTGACAGAGATGCAGGAAGAGACACGATGGTTTCCACTAGTTTCTACTAGTGACGCAGCATGAAATTTTATATCTCTTCCTTTCTTTGAGACAAGAGGAGCTGTGTGCTGACTTTGTGATGAATCAAGATAACAACTTGGAACAATATACAGTGCAGCTGTTTGCAGAAGCTTTTTATATTCATTATGAGTGAAAGAAAAGGCTAAGGGATGTCTAGCAGCCCCCCCCCAGGGCCCAGAGTGGGGAGAGTGCGGTTTCCAAAGGGCGATTGATCGCCAAATGACTGATACTGTGGAACACAGTTTAATATTGCAAACACTTTTGCCTAATAATTTGGAAAGTACTGGTTTAACAAAGTTCAAAAGGAAGGTTGGACAATTAAGGAGTTGCTGCGCCATCAAAGATAACAGACTTGGACAACATCCCGGAATTGGAACAGAATCAGATGAAGCTGAGCTGAGAAAAAGGCAGTTGGAAAAATTTTATATTAACAAAGTTGTATTCGGACGATGAAAATATATGGTGTTTGACATGAATGAGAATCCTGGACCCAGGGACAAAAAATGATCAAGCGTTAATATCAAGATGTGGAACATATGGAAACGACAAGGAGAGGCAGGACTAAGATGCAGAGATCTGCTCCAGAGATCCAGACCGTGGGGAGCCCCAAGAAATCAATAAACACAATTTGGAAAATAATTTGATCTTTTTTATTTTAGTTTTTTTATTTTCTAATTGAAGTATTATGATCGGATATTTAATTGGATGTTTTCTATTGGAAAATCAATAAAAATGATTTTAAATATATATATATAAATCCTGCGGGCTGCTCCCAAGATGACATTGCTGGCCTCGGGCACAGAGCAGTTCCAACATTCCTTGCTTTGTGAACCTGCTACCCATTTAAAGCATATTATTTCCCCCACGTTATCCCCCCCCCCCCCGCTGCTGCATTAGTTTGGTCTTCAGGGGTCAGAATGCATCCATCCACCCTTGAGTTTCCAAACCACAAGGAGGGTTCAGGTAGGTAGCTGGGTTGGGCGCGCTGCCCAACTGAGCCCAAGGGAGTTGCCCTCCAAGGTCCCAGCCTGGAAAGACCCTGAGACTGGTCCTGGGTGGAAATGGTCCCTGGAAGGACCATCTGGAAGGAGCCCATGGGGCACAGCTTGTGTCGCACCTATGGAAAGTAGCCAGGCTGGGTGGTTGAAATATACTCTGAGTCGAGAGTGGATTTCATGCTCTTCCTTCAGCTCATAGTGGTGAGGAGGAGGAATGGAAGTTCCCCCAGAATGTTTGCCTTATGTACATTATTTACACAACAGGCCCCACATGATTGGCTAATTCCGGGATTCTCCTGTAGGCCAATCAAGTTGCAGATTCCCTTCCACCTGGAGCTGGATTGGGTGCCTCCTGTGGACCAATCAGACTGCTGCATTCTGGATCCTGTTGTTCTAGGACCGATCAGACTGCTGCATTCTGGATCCTATTCAACTCAGTACATAACAGTGGTGGTAGTGGGGAGTTAGAGGGGGAGAGAGAGAGAGAGAAGGGGAAGGGTCATCTCCTGCCTCTGACTCACAAAGCCGGAGTGTAGTGGTTAGAGTGTGGGGCCCAGGACCTGGGAGAGACCAGGGTCCTCCCACTCGGCCAGGATGAAGCCAGGCCAAGCCACCCCTTTGCTGACCCAAGATTTGCTGTTCGGAGGTGGCTGTGCCAGACAGCTCCCTGGCACTGGCACTTTTCCCTTGAAAAAGATCAGCGTGAGAACAGAGGGGATTTTAATCAGCGTCCTTCTGCCCAGGGCCATAGGAGTCGTCCAGGGCCCAGATGGCTGGGGTGGTGGGCACTCAGAGCCCTGCCTGGCACCTTGCCCACTGCGTGCCACCGCCCGTTCCCCTTCCGCACAGAGCTCCAGCAGTTGCTGCGCCTGAGCTGAAATGACGCAAAGACCAAGGGGCCAGGAGACTCCCCTGCTGCCCTTTCTCCTCCTCCTCCCCCCAAGTGGGGGGGGGTGCTTGCTTTTGTCCCTCTGCCTGGCAGGCCGGCTGTGTTTCTCTGCGCTTCGAGTTTCCCTGGGCACAGGCTCCACCTCTCCGCCTCCTGCCCTTCCAGATCACACCGCGAGCACCTTCCCGTCCTGGCTCTGCGCTCCTTCCTGGGCAGACACGGAGAGCCGACACGGGTCATGGCCACAGTTTTCGCCCCCAAGGCTAGCCAGATTCTCATGACCCCGGAGCCGCACTACATCCCCGGGTAAGTGCAGAGGTTGCAGCCGGGCCAGAAGAACTTCCTGGGAGCCCAGTGAGTCGGGGCACTGCCCTTTCTCCAGCGCCTCTCTTCCTGCGCGTGAGGATCAGGCTATATACCTGTGTCTCTTCACACCCTTGCGGGTCTGTGGGGGCGCAGGAGTGCCAACGTGGCCCTGCAACCGTGGGTGCCGGGGGCGCCGCGAAGCCTGCATTGAAATTTGTGGGTGCCTGGCCCCTTCGTGGGGAGTTTCGTGGGTGCTTGGGCACCCAGGGAGTTAGCACCTATATCTAGGTGGGTGGAATCGGTGCGCAGGTGTCCTGAGCTCTCTCGGCTTCTTCTTGGACACCAGGAGAGGGAAAGGGTCCCCTTTGGCAGGATTTCTGCTCGGCGGGGGAAGGAATCACAATGCGGGGGACGGGGGGAGCTGGCAGCACAGCAACCCTTCTCTCCTCCCCCCCCCCTTCCTCGTCCGCGCAGCTCCATCAGGCTGCGCTTCTCTCTCTACCATCTCTGTGTACAGCAGCTGCCATAGCAACCCGGCAGGAAACCTGGGGAGGGGAGGGTCACCCAGGAACCGAACAGGATGCAGGGCTAGATGGGACCTTGGCCTGATCCAGCGACAGTCTTGTGTTTTGTTGTTGTTTAGTCGTTTAGTCGTGTCTGCCTCTTCGTGCCCCCTGGACCAGAGCACGCCAGGCACTCCTGTCTTCCACTGCCTCCCGCAGTTTGGTCAAACTCATGCTGGTAGCTTCAAGAACACTGTCCAACCATCTCGTCCTCTGTCGTCCCCTTCTCCTTGTGATCTTTCCCAACATCAGGGTCTTTTCCAGGGAGTCTTCTCTTCTCATGAGGTGGCCAAAGTATTGGAGCCTCAGCTTCAGGATCTGTCCTTCCAGTGAGCACTCAGGGCTCATTTCCTTCAGAATGGAGAGGTTTGATCTTCTTGCAGTCCATGGGACTCTCCAGAGTCTCCTCCAGCACCAGAATTCAAAAAGCATCGATTCTTCGGCGATCAGCCTTCTTTATGGTCCAGCTCTCACTTCCATACATCACTACAGGGAAAACCATGGCTTTTACTATACGGACCTTTGTTGGCAAGGTGATGTCTCTGCTTTTTAAGATGCTGTCTAGGTTTGTCATTGCTTTTCTCCCAAGAAGCAGGCGTCTTTTAATTTTGTGGCTGCTGTCACCATCTGCAGTGATCATGGAGCCCAAGAAAGTAAAGTCTCTCACTGCCTCCATTTCTTCCCCTTCTATTTGCCAGGAGGTGATGGGACCAGTGGCCTTGATCTTCGTTTTTTTGATGTTGAGCTTCAGATCATATTTTGCGCTCTCCTCTTTCACCCTCATTAAAAGGTTCTTTAATTCCTCCTCACTTTCTGCCATCAAGGTTGTGTCATCTGCATATCTGAGGTTGTTGATATTTCTTCTGGTAATTTTAATTCCGGCTAGGGATTCATCCAGCTCAGCCTTTCGCATGATGAATTCTGCATATAAGTTAAATAAGCAGGGGGACAATATACAGCCTTGCCGTACTCCTTTCCCAATTTTGAACCAATCCGTTGTTCCATATCCAGTTCTATCTGTAGCTCTTGTCCCACATACTTGTGTTCCATGATTGCTACGTTCCCTTGCCCCTGACGCTCTCCTGCCCCCTTGCAGCTATGGCGGGTACTGCCCCCGTTACAAGTTCATGCTGGGCCAGACTTATGGGAAACTGACCTCGCAGCTGCTCACTAGCCCCGAGGCGGATCACTCTGGCCGGCTGCTCCTGCAGCCCAACTGCTCCCCCAGAGACACAGAGGCGCCTCCGGAGCAGAACGAGAGCGGAGGAAAGCTCCCCCTGCTTGGCCGCAGGACCATCCCAGGTTACACAGGTAAACTCCAGGAGGTCCCCTCAGTCAGGTCTGGGCTGCAGCAGCGGCTGGCAGGGGAGGGCAGGGGAGGCTCAAAGGGGCGAGAGGCAGATGGCTGTGGCCCCCGAGGGGATGGAGGGCAGGCCCTGGATTACCACCCTGGTCTCCTCTGGGAGGAAGGGTGGGATGGAAAAACCAGGCAGCAGGTTTCACTGTACTGTTCTTGACTCCTGCTAAAAACGATTTTTGTTTAGGGCTTATGCCCACTTAACTCTCCTCTGCACTTTCCCCTCGAAAACCCTTTACCACTGAATCGGAGCAAGGGGGGTAAGGAGGGCAAAACCCAGATTTTCGTTGGTTGTGCTTCTGCTTTAAAGAGCGGGTTTTGGCAGGGGAAATTCCAGGGGGGAACAAAGAACACAGCTTGGACACAGAGCTTTAAAGCACAGAAATCTCTCTGGTAAGAGCGGGGTGAAAGTTAAGTGGGAAGAAGCCCCGAGAGGAGCCTAGCCAGATGCTTAGAAAGTTGACGAGAGTATTAAGATGGATCTAAACACAGGAGGAAAACACTATAAATAAGTCAGAAAACAGATCGTTTTAACAAAAGAAAAAAAAATCTATGGAAATCTGTGTTTAAAATTTCCTGCTCTCTGGCACCATCTGGTGTTGTATGTATATAGCGCATTCAAATACCTGTTTCCTTACTAATGTAGCCAAGTCCTTAATCTGTTTTTAGTCCTTTGTAATTCTGTCATTAATTTTTCTCATTGATTATTTTATTGATTTGTCGTTTTCATAAGCCCCTTTGAGGTTGCTGCTTTTTTACAAACAAGCCGTGCGCAAATTTTATGAAATAAGCAGCCCGAGGGCTAGAGAGTGACAAGGGTCAGAGGTGCCAGCCAGGACTGCTGCGGCTCTTCCTGCCCTGTAGCTCAGGCTGAAGTCTGGGTCAGCCCCTCACACATACTCTTAGATAAAGCAAAGCAGAGAATGGGGCACATGCTCTGCCCCCCCCCCAGAATACTCCCCAAGACCAGGAAAATGCAGCAGGGGCAGTGGAGAGCTTCCTTTCTCAGGGGGAAGGTATGGAGCTCTCTTGCTCACGAGGAGGCGGCATATTTTTCTTGAGGCTACTTGTATTGTGCCCTCAATCCCAGGTCTCAGTGGGAGTGTCCGTCTGTCTCTGGAGACAATAAGATTAAATGCTAGGGGCTGTCTCCCTGACTTACTCTGCCTGCCAACCCTGCCAGCCGCTTTGCCCTTCCTCCACACCTGACCCAAGCCCCCCCCTTTACATCTCCCCCCCCCCACCCTCTCCCTTCATCCTATGCTGCCTGGGCTGTTCAAACACGTCTTGTGTCCTGGCAGGATTCATCCCTCGGTCCCAAAACCACTTTGCCAAGACCTACAGCGAGATCTGCAAGGAGGCCAGCAGCGAATTTGCCCGGCAGCTGCTGAGGGGAGCTGGGCAGCGGGAGGCCTGGATGGCGGCCGGAGGGGAGTCTCCAAAGGACACCAAGCCGGAGTCTCACGTACGTGGCACACCTGAGGGTCGAGCCCTTTCGTGGGCAAGTGTGGCAGCCGGGAGGGGGCACTTACATGTCACCAAAAAAAACCCCTACATGAGATTCGCATGTGCTAACACTTGTATGCAGGCACAAATTTAGAAAGAAGCACCGTCATGGATGTTTTGAACTCTACCAGCCCCACACATCTGGAGGGCACCAGGTGGGCACCCTCTGGCCTAGACTGACTGGCATCACCTCTCCAGGGTCTCCAATGGGTCAGGGGGCTGCTGGCTGGTCTTCCAGCACGTGCATCTCATTTGCAACTTGGGACCAGTTTAGCTGTGAGGTTGCCTCCTCCCCCCACATGCACAATAAAATGTGGCTCTTTTCGGGGGGGGTGTTATTGAGTTATTGTTCTTATTTTGATTTTATATATTGTGATCTTTTCTGTGAACCGCCCTGAGACCTCCAGGTATAGGGCGGTATATAAATTCATTCATTCATTCATTCATTCATTCATTCAATCAATCAATCACAGCCCCCCCCCCAAGTGCCCCTCTTTTCCAGGGACGTCCCCGATTTAGAGAAGCTGTCCTGGTTTCTCATTTGATCCCAAAATGTCCCGCTTTTCCTTAGTATGCCCCTGATTTTCATCAGAGAAATGCTGGAGGGTATAGACTCGGCCCCTTCGATTGGCGGAATGGGCACCACCGCAGGTGCCACATAATGCCCGCTCCATATTCATAAGAACTTGACACCTGCACTTTGGAACTCCCTGCCTCTTGATACCAAGCAGGTGCCTGGTCTGGCCCCTATGAGGCATCTGCTGAGAACATTCTTGTTTAGACAAGCTTATCTAGATGCTTAGAAAGTTGGTGTGCATTTTAATCTGTTTTTAGCATATTTTTAGCATTTTAATTCTCTTTACAGTATTGTTGCATTCCCGCCCTCCTCATTTTCTTGGCTTGTCTGTTCATAAACTGCTTTAAGGGTTTCTTCTTTACAATCAGGCAGTATATAATTTTTTAAAAAAATTAATAAGTGAATAAATAAGTGGGTAGGAAGGTCTGGGGCCCCCACATCCCTCTTGAATCTGCCAGGACCATGTCTGTGAGGCTCCCAGGTTGCCCTTGCACCTGAATCTCTATCTATCTATCTATCTATCTATCTATCTATCTATCTATCTATCAATCATCTATCTATCTATCTATCTACCTATCATCTATCTATCATCTATCTATCTATCATCTATCTATCTATCTATCTATCTATCTATCTATCTATCTATCATCTATTTATCTATCATCTATCTATCTATCTATCTATCTATCTATCATCTATCTATCTATCTATCTATCTATCTATCTATCCATCCATCTATTTATTTATCTATCATCTATCTATCTCCTTCCCGGTCTCCTATGCCTTGGTGTTTCTTTGAAACGGAAAGTGGCTGCAAAGGGTTTTAATAAAATCGGCAAAGAGACGCCTGCCTGGGCCTGACTCTGACCCTCCTGGTGCCCATAGAGCCTCACCCCCAAGTGCAAGACCCCCCTGGCCGCCGTGTCAAAAGCTGCTGCCCCATATGTGTCTCGCTACGCCTTCCGGCCCCAGGGATCGCCCTACTCTCTGGAAGACAGCAACCCACAGAGGCACTTCATCTCAGGTGAGGCTCACCTGCCCTGCCCCCATCCAGGCTGAGGGATCTTCTCCCAATGCAAGAAGCACCTCTGGCAGATGTGGGGGGTGGGCAAGTTAGGGGTACCTTCCCCCTCCAGGTGTAGCGTGACCTTGCTCATTCTCCTCCACCACCTGCACCTGTTGCTATTTTCATCCTTCAAAAAACATTTACTGTAAAGTATATGGAGCAATGCTTTTAAGGTCATGTTTAGCTCTTAGATCAGGGACGCGGGTGGCGCTGTGGGTTAAACCACAGAGCCTAGGGCTTGCCGATCAGAAGGTTGGCAGAATCCCCACGACGGGGTGAGCTCCGGTTGCTCGGTCCCTGCTCCTGCCAACCTAGCAGTTCGAAAGCATGTCAAAGTGCAAGTGGATAAATAGGTACCGCTCCAGTGGGAAGGTAAACGGCGTTTCCGTGCGCTGCTCTGGTTCGCCAGAAGCGGCTTAGCCCTGCTGGCCACATGACCCAGAAGCCGTATGCCCTTGGCCAATAAAGCGAGATGAGCGCCGCAACCCCAGAGTCATTTGCGACTGGACCTAACAGTCAGGGGTCCCTTTACCTTTACCATTAGCCCTTGGATCAGGGCTGGATCAGAATCTCTCTTGGCCTGCACACCTCCAGTTGGACAGGTGGGTGGGGCTGCAAAGGAAGACCTCGGGCCAAAGGGTCCGAGTTCAAAACCTGCTGCCTTGGGCAGGGATTGGCTGCTCTCGGGGTCTCTGACTGGGAACTCTCAAGTGGAAGGAAACCCCGTGGGGCGGGCATCTGGTGCCCAATTTCAAAGGCTCTCTCCTTGCCAAGGAGCAACTGGGAGGAGCCTTCAAGCCCCTCAGCTGATACTTGGCAACCAGGAGGTTATACACCGGAGGTCACATTTGGCTCCATTTGTCGGAAGCTCTCCCCAGGGGGGCTCACCGGGCGCCTTCCTTGCAGATCTTTAGATGCCAGGTGAAAACTTTCCTCTATAACAAGGTCTTGGGCTGTTGAAACAATCCATGACCTTTTAAATATGACTGGAGAGGTGTAGTCTTTTTAGTATTCAGTTACAGTTTTGTGTTTTTATGTTGTAAAATAATAATAATACACCCCACCAGCTCTGGAGTGGGGTGGGCTTCTGTGGTGGGTCTAACTCTTTCGACTCCTGCAACGCAGGCTTCACTGGATTCATCCCTCGCGCCCAGTATCTGATTGGGGCAAGCTACCCTGTCATCACCCACCGGGCTCTGGCAGAGTTTGACCGGATGCGATGGAGGCAGAGGCAAGGGCCTTCTGGAAGCAGCTGCGATGCCCAGAAAGGTGGCAATGCCCTCCCTCCGCTGACAAAGACCTACCCCACAGACATGGGCCTCCTGCCCCACTACAGGGGCTACGTTCCAGGTGAGCTGGGGGGCTGCCCCACCTGTTCACACTCTTCTCCTCCCTGGGTGCTGCAACCCACAGAGACCTGGCTTGACCATGGAGACACCTGAGGAAGAGGAGCTGCCACAAAGGCTTGGACCAGTCCAGGGAGGAAAGTTCTTCCAGGGCTGCTGGCCATGGCTCTTGCCTCCACAGAGGAGAGGGCTGCTCTTGGGCTCAAATCCTGCTTGTGGGTCAGACATCTGGTTGGCCCCTGTGAGAACAAGAGGCTGGAGTGGATGGGCCGTTGGCCGGATCCAGCACTCTCCTGATGTTCTTATGGAACCTCACATCTGCTGGGATGGGGGGTGGGTCTTCTTCAAAATATGCCCATTACAGGGAGAGGTAAACTTTATAGACCTTTCAAAGCTGTGATGAGGTGCCCCAAATGAGGGGTTGATCTAGGCCAGCTGGCTGTCCCACGGCTGTATGGCATTGTTTGGGTGGGGATACCACCAGTCTGAAAGCACATCAAAGTACAAGTAGATCAACAGGTACCATGTCGGCGGGAAGGTAAACGGCGTTTCCGTGCGCTGCTCTGGTTCGCCAGAAGCGGCTTAGTCCTGCTGGCCACATGACCTGGAAGCTGTACGCTGGCTCCCTTGGCCAATAAAGAGAGATGAGCGCCGCAACCCCAGAGTCGGCCACGACTGGACCTAATGGTCAGGGGTCCCTTTACCTTTTTATGGAGTTATCCGACCCCCGAGCCATCTGAAGGCAATCCTGTATAGGGAAGGTTTTTAAAATGTTTGGTGTTTTATGATGTTTTTATATATGTTGGAAGCTGCCTAGAGTGGCTGGGGCAACCCAGTCTGATGGGTGGGGTATAAATAGTCAAATTACCCTTATGGAATGGGACGTCCCTATTTTCACTGGAGAAATGTTGAGAGGCTCTGCAGGCCTGGAGGGGTCTCCCCTTCTGCTCCAGCTTCCTGAAAGCCCTTGCCACTCTTCCTCAAATGCTCTGGTCTGGAGGAGGAGGCGGCAGCAGCCACTCACTGCAGAGTTGGAAGGGACCCCCAAGGCTCATCCAGCCCTACCCCGAAAGGCAGGGATCGCAGCGAAGGCTTTCTCCATTCCGGCCTTTGTGTGTCTCCTTGCAGGTTACAAGTTCCAGTTTGGCCACACCTACGGCCAGCTCACCTTTGATGCCCTGGGCCAGAGCACCCTGGAGAAGCAGGTGCTGGATGGGCAGCCATGATGCCCCGCCCTCTCTGGGACCCCCCCCAGGAGCCACTTCTGCCCCCTTGCTTTGTGTGTGTGGTGTAAGGAAGGGAAACCGACAGCCAGGATGGAAGAGGACCCCCTTCAACTCCCCCTTTTCCTCTGACAAAGGGTCCCTGGTGGGACTTTTTTTGGGTGGGGGGGATGAAAGGATGCCAGTGGACGGGCAGCTCCCTATTCTGGACTGGGGTGTGTGTGTGGACCCGACAGCCTTCTGGTTCCCCCAGCTCTTTGAATCTTTGGGGTCTGTTTCTCAGGACGGTCCCAGTTGTTCCAGAGGGTTCAGTCAGGTTCTGGGAAGCCCAGAAACACCCTTTGGCAGTGGCGTAGCGTGGGGGGTGCAGGGGGGGGGCGGCCGCACCGGGCGCAACATCTGGGGTTAGGGCAAATCCACGGGTTAGGGGGCGCAAATCCACGGGTTAGGGGGCGCAAATTACTTGCCTTGCCCCGGGTGCTGACAACCCACGCTACGCCACTGCCCTTTGGAGAAGCTTTTTCACCCGCCAGCCTTCCTCTTGCTGGAGGCCCAGCTGGAGACCAGCTGCCTCTCTGGGAGAGGACCACCCTGGGCCAGGCAGTCTTAAGAAGAGGGTCCCTCCCGCGCAGTTTGGGAGAGGGGAATGTGGCATGTGGGGCCAGAGGCCTACAGGGCATCTATAAGACTTAGATAATATCAACCAGGGCATATTTAACCTGAAAACAAGAGGAAACGGTCTACACTTTTTGCTTCACTTTGTGATGTGGAAGCTGCACGTGTCAACCCTCCCACAAAACAGGAGGGACTTAAAAGTGACAAGAAAACCCCTCAATTCAGGATTATTTTTCTGAGCTGGAAAATGCACAAAACGTCTCTAATTCTAGCTACACATTTTCCAGCCATGCTCAGGATTCAGTTGCCACTTGCTAGGAATGAGCAGAACTGCTTTGAAATCAGCCTCCAGAGAAAACATCCCAAATGCACCCCACTTTTCACCTCTGGCTTCCAGGTAGCTCCGTTTGGATGGAGCAAACATAAAGGTAAGAGGAAGTCATCGGTGCTGCTGGGATACGACCCCAGAGGACCGAAATGAAGTAGACGGGGAAATGCCAGTGCCGGGTGGGGAATCGTGGCCCCATGAGATGATGAGGACCCACCTGAGATCAGTCCTCACCTGCCCAGCCCTGGGGATCTCCTCCCCTTTAGCAGAATCTTCTGTAACTCTGGGATTCGGTAGATAAGAGCTCTACCTTCAGCAAGGCGAAAACTCTGCGACAGCCATTTGAAGAGGAGCCAGAGCTCAGTGAAGAGCCTGCATGTCAGAGGAAAGAAGCGCCAGGTCCAAGCCCTGAGGGAGAGGGGAAGGAGGCGGGAGAATCAGAGAACCATGGGATCTGAGAGCTGGGAGTGTCGTGCAGCCCAACCCTCCTGCAAGGCAGAAACCACAGCAAGTCTCTCCGATTCTTCTCGCCTTCCAGAAGTCGGCTCCAGAAGCACTGGCCAAGAGCTGCTTCTCCCACAACTCGGGATGGGGGCAAGAAACCCCCCCCCCCAAAATGGAGGAAGACTTCCTTTTGCCCTCTTACTTTCTGACAATAAGAGCTGCTTGGAAGAGTCTCTTTTGGAAGGTGGGGGCCTCTCCACCCTTGGAGGTTTTCAAGCAGAGTTTGGGTGGCCATCCATCATGGATTCTTGACTTTAGATTCCTGCCTTGCAGGGGTTGGGCTAGAGGACCTTTGACGTTCCCTCTAACTCTTTCATTCTCTGATTCTATGCCAAGGGCATCACTTGGGTGCTGGGAAAGGGCAGCTGCTGCCCCCCAGCCCACTTTGTCCCTGTCTTTTTGTCTTCAGCCTTCTTTTTCTCTATCCTCCAATAGATCTCCAGTTAATCTTTTATTCTCCCACCTCATGGAGTTGCGTCAAGGCCTGCAATATCCAGAACTTCCCTGCAGGCTCCGCCAGCTGGAGGAGCCAGCCCATAGCTTTCCTCCACTCCTGGCTTCAGCGTCCATCAGGGTGGGGGTCCCAATCCTGAGGTCCCTGCGCAGGAAGTGGGTGGGTGTATCGACCGTCTCTGCAGTGGAGAGGAGCTCTTTAATCAGCACCTTTTTTATTAATATGCGTCATAAATAAAGAAATAAATAAAGGCGAGACACCCTGTTCTAACGCCGGAAGTACAAATTAAACATGGCGCCTTTTTCCGCAGGAGCCTCTGACTTCGCAACAGCAGCCACCCCTTGGGGGGAGGGCAAGGCGGGACACCCCAGCCCAGCCCCTCAATACTGACCGACCGACTAGCTGGTCTTGGCAATAACACTGCCCTCTGGCTACACGGAGGGGGGGGGAGACACGGGAGACCAGGACCCTCATCCCGCCCCCCAACAGAAAGGGAGAATGGCAAGGAGTCCCAACCCCAGAGAAAACCCTTCTCCCACCCACCCTGTTACAGACACGGGCAGGCAGTTTCACCAGCACCAGCTGGATGTCCTCTGGGGACCCCAGCAGTGCCCTTCTGCTGCTGGGTCAGGACCCTGGACCCTGTCGGGAGGGGCAGCCCCTTGCGGCTGGAAGGGCCGCCCTCTGCCCACCACCCTTGATTCCCCTTTGTGGGCATTGCCCACCGTCGAGCCTACTTCTAACACAGAACGGCCGTGGACCCCTACCAAACCACTACACAGACACACAGACACATGGGCGGGGTTATTTTCCCTCAGGGGGGACCCCACCCCCTCCCTCCCTCCCTCCCTCTGAAGCAAGATGCCCCTTCCCCGGGGCACAGCTCCCTTCCCACCGGCTGCCCCTACGGTGTGGCGGGGGCCACAAGATGCAACGGGGGTGTTAATATATGTTAGCACACAGTTCTAGAGGGGGCATGTCTAGGGCAGGGCCGCCTGCAATGCCACCTGCCGCCACCGGGGGCAGCTTGCAGGAAAGCGCCCCCCCACCTGGAGATGGAGGCAGAGCAATGCATGCTGGGGGTTGGCTGCCCCACCCTATTTAGGAAGGGGGCTCCAAGGGCCATCCAGTCCACCCCTGCAACACAAAGCGGCAGTCCTGGCGGCCGAAGGTCTATGCCGGACGAGCCCTGGAGGCGAAGCAGGTGAAGAGTTCCTTGTTGGGGGGGGAAGGGGGCGAGAGAGGAGAGGAGCATGCACAGCAATGACACTTGGCAACAGGAGACCCCTGGGAGGACAGGGGGCAAAGGCGGAGAGCAGCAGTGATTTCTGAGATTCCTTCACAGCGAGGAGATTGGGAGACGGGATCAGGAGGAGGAGGAGGCGCCTCTGTGCCCGACACTGTCTTGCTGGGGGGGCACGGCCGGGCTCCGTGGGTCTGTGCTTCTCTGGGCCTCCCCGGCTGCCCCCGGCCCCCGTCAGTAGTCCTCGTCCTCCATGTGGGTGACGTACATGATGGGCACCAAGCCGCTCTCTGCCCCTCGCCTGCAGCGCAGCCAGTCGGCGTCCACCTTGCCCGCCACGCGCAGGACGTCGCCCTTCTGGAAGCTCAGCTGCCCGGCCTCCGTGGCAATGTGGTGGCAGAGGGCCTTGACCTCGCTGCGGAGGGAAGGAGGGGGTCGTGAGGGAACAACAACAACAATTGATTATTTATACCCTGCAACAAGAATAGGTAAAGGTAAAGGGACCCCTGACCATTAGGTCCAGTCGCGGACGACTCTGGGGTTGCGGCGCTCATCTCGCTTTACTGGCCGAGGGAGACGGCGTACAGCTTCCGGGTCACGTGGCCAGCATGACTAAGCCGCTTCTGGCGAATCAGAGCAGCGCACGGAAACGCCGTTTACCTTCCCACCGGATTACCTTCCCACCTATTTATCTACTTGCACTTTGACGTGCTTTCGAACTGCTAGGTTGGCAGGAGCAGGGACCGAGCAACGGGAGCTCACCCCGTTGCGGGGATTCGAACTGCCGACCTTCTGATCGGCAAGTCCTAGGCTCTGTGGTTTAGACGACAGCGCCACCCGCGTCCCAACAAAATATTAAAAACACAATAAAGAATCAGACATTAAACACTTCCCTGAACAAGGCAGGCAGGGGTGGAGAGCCCTCCTGGGGGCACCGGGGGAGCCCCTCCCTGCCCAGGCAAGGCTTTTGTAGAATCACAGCACTGCCGAGGGGAACCCCAGGGTCCTCTAGACCAACCCCCTGCAAGGCAGGACTCCCAGCTCAAGAATCCCTGGTGGAAAGACACCCACCCGCTTTTGGGAAACCTCCAAGGAATCCTAGAATCCTATAGCCATAGATGGAAGGGGCTGCCAAGGCCCATCTAATCCCATGGCAGGAATCACACAGAGACGCCCACCCAATCTCTGCTTACTCTGCCAGTGAAGGAGAGTCCCCCTCAAAGCCCCTGGCAGGCAGGAGACCTGGGGTGCTGTGGGGGAGGAGAAAGGGCAGCTGCCCCCCCCGAGACCCTCGCCTTCAGTGGAAGCCTTTCAGGAGAGGTTGGGGGCCCCTATTCTTTCAGCTGTGATTTCTGCCTGGCAGGGGCTGGACTAGATGTTCCCCGGGGCTCCCTTCCAACTGCGACATTCCAGGATTGCATGGTCACCACCGGCTGTTGGAGGAGGGGCAGTGGGGCAACATGGGGGGGGTTCTCCACAGACGAGGGGTCCTCCTCTCCCACAGGGCACAATGGCCACAGCCCACCAGCTGCCTCTGGGGCCACTTCCATCGGCTGCAAGGCCTGGGGGCAAACCATAAAGGAAGCTTGTCAGAGAGAAGGACTATGATGGGCTGAGCAGCCTCCAGCATCTCTGTCACTCTCACTCTCACCAGACTCCTGGCTTCATGGGGGGGGGGTCTTTCAGCACCCTGAGGGTCACAAATGCTCTCCATCCCTCACCTGAGGTTGATTTGAGCCCAGCCCCCCCACCCCCCCAAGAGATCCAGGCCTCTGCTCCCCGCCCAAGCCGGGGGCTCAGTTCTCCCCCCTGCAGGGCTTTCCATGAGACCCCCTTGGACTGGTTGCCAGGACCACAAGCCTGAGGGGTCCCAGAGGGGGGAGGTCCTGGGCCTCTGGGGAACCCCCCCCTAAAAAGCCTTCTAGCTTGAGCATCCTTGAGACAGACCCTGGCCCCCCAGCCCTGTGGCTGCCCCCACCCCGACCCCCTGTTGCCCCGCAGTATCCCTCACCAGGGTGTCTCTGGGGAGCCTCCCCTGTCTGGCAGTGGCTGCTTGGGATGTGGGGGAGGAGGGTCCAGCGCCAGCCGCTCAGGCTCCGAGGAAGCCTCTCTCCACACCGTGGCCCCCACTGTCTGTGCCATCAGCTGCAGCACGGAGCGGTCCAGGCTCAGCCAGCCAGAGGGCAGCCTGGAAGGGGAGAAGGAAGTCAAGACCAGTGGGCGGATCAGAGAACGACAGGAAAAACGCGAGAGGCAGCTGTCGGGGAAAGATCGGGGTTCAGCGCGCCATACCCTGTGGGCTCAGCCTGGACAGCAGGGCTGGATTAACCATTCAGCAAAAGAAGCTTGTGCTCGGGTCATCAAAGGAAGGGGGCACCACAGAAATTTCCCATTGCCGGATTTTCAGCATCAATGGTCACAATTGCTGTCCATTAAAAATCCCAACAGAAGAACTCTGCAACGAGGCAGACTAGGTGCCTTATCTCTACTAAGTACCGAAGCGGATGTGTGACATAAGGTTAGTTTTGAGGATCTGAGCACAGGCTTTGCAATTAGAAAAAGGAGGAGGAAATGCTTCCTAGCCGCCATATGCGCCACCCAACTATCTCTTCCAGCAGGAGTGCAGAGAAGAGGCTACTAGCACACCGCCTGAGCTCACCGGAAGTGGGACTTCCATCTATACAGTTAGAAAAGGTCTCTGGAGCTTTGCTTCAATTCCAGGGGCGAGACTTTTATATGCACAGAGATGGAAGGACTCGTCACTACCAGCAATGGGAGAATGGCTGAGATGGAAAAACCGGCATGCTTAAGCAGAGAAAAGTCATTCTTAACATTTATGGGAGATTGGAAACTTCTCATAGATGTTTTGAAATAATGGCATTTGGATTTGAGGATGGGAGATAATATTTGCTTATAGAAAGTAGCTTTGTAGGGATGTGAATACAGTGGATGCTCAGATTGCGAACGTGCTCTGTGCAGGATGCACGTTCGCAACCCGCAGCATTCGCAACCCATGTTTGCGCGTCTGTGCATGCACAGGTTGCGCTTCTGTGCTTCTGCAAAGCGCAATGTAGCGCTTCTGTGCACGCGTGACTGCCGAAACCCGGAAGTAACCTGTTCTGGTACTTCCAGGTTTCGGCAGTCCGCAACCCGAAAAAGCGCAACCTGAAGCGGACGCAACATGAGGTATGACTATTGCTTATATACAGCAGTCAAATGAAGAACCGGAAGTTCTTTAACTTTTGAACTTTATTTTTCTCCCGCCTTTTAAATCCCTTGTCTATTTCTTCTTTATCTCCCTCTCTGCCTTTCTATATTTCCTGCATTTCTTTTTCTCTGCGAGTTTTATTGAATCCAAATCAATATTTTGATTTGGACCAAAAACCCCAGAGATATGATATTAAGTTTTGTATTTCCCTGTGTAAATCCTAATAACATCTATTCAAAAACAACAAGTAAGAGAAAAGTTTTCAAATACAAATGCACGGAAATGAACATTATTTTCCATCTTACTGTAGGTTTTGTTTCATTTCGAAAAATAAAATTTTATTTGATGGTTTGTTATTGTTTGTATTTTGAATGAGATATATGGGGGGGCACTGAAATCTTTTATGTGCTTAGGGCCTTTGAAGGTCTTAATCCAGTGCTGCTTGATGAAGACACAGAAACATTCATAGTTTTAAGCATTCCCCCCTTTGCCTCCTCAACCTTCTTCACCCCCTTTTCCGTTCCCATTCTGAAATGGTGCACAAGATACACCTGGGTCTGCCCCCCCCTCCCCACAGGCCCTTTGCACCAGCAGCCCTGAACTGGGGTGGCTCAGGAGAGCAGCTGCAGGGAGGGAGGCTGCCCTTGGGGGGCCACCCCCATCCCAGGGCAGCAATCGGGCTCCTTCAAAGGACAAGCGGCAATGTGGCACAGTGGTGAGAGCGCTGGACTAGGACCTGGGAGAGAGCAGGGTGCAAATCCCCACTCAGCCAGGAAGCTCGCTGGGTGACCTCAGGGCAGCCTAGCCTACCTCTCAGGGTTGTTGTGGGGATAAAACAGGAAGGCGGAAAGCCACGCCTGCCTCCTTGAAGGAGAAGCGGGAGATAAACACCCCAGAGAAAAGAACTGCCCCCTTGTTTGAAGTGACATTCTTTCTCCTGTTTCAGCCTCGTAGTTGTTGCCAGGCACAATGGGGGGGGGGCAGTGTCCTTGGAGCTCCCTTTCTGCACCCCACAATCTCAGATACAGTGGTACCTTGGTTCTCAAACGCCTTGGTACTCAAACAGCTTGGAACCCAAACACTGCAAACCCGGAAATAAGTGTTCCGGTTTGCAAACTTTTTTCGGAAGTCGAATGTGCTCCATTTTGAGTGTTACACTTCCGATCTGAGGGCCACACTTCCATTTTGAGTGTTACGCTGAGGTCTGTCTGTTTTTGCTATTTATTTTGCGTTTTTGCGGCTCTTTTTGTTTTGTTTCTGTGACTGTGTGGAACCCAGTTCAGCTACTGAGTGATTGATTGTGTGACTGCAGTACATTGTTTATTGCTTTCATTTTATGAATCAGTGGTCTCGTTAGATAGTAAAACTCATGTTAAATTGCTGTTTTAGGGGTTGCTTTTAAAAGTCTGGAACAGATTAATTCATTTTGCATTACTTTCTATGGGAAAGCATGAATTGGTTTTTGAACACTTCGGGGACGGATTAAGTTTGAGAACCAAGGGAGCAGTGTACTATCAACTCAAAGACCTCCAGGCCAGTGGCAGGTCCTTTGCAAAAAGCTTGAGGTCAAAGTCCCACCGAGACCCCCTTCTCTTATTCCCAGTCTTTGGGGTCTCTGCCCATCCCCGGCCACTCTAGGGCACACCCAAACCGCCAGCACCCTCCTGCACCCCCAGGCTGCCGCCCCCACCCCACCTACCTGTTGGCCTGCTTGGGCTCCTTGGGCGCCTTTCGGGAACCAAAGAGGTGCCCCCACTTGGGGGTGCCGTTGTCCTCCTGGGGACCCCCCTGGTTTGGGGCTGGCACCGCGTCCTTCTCCCTGGTGTGCTTCAGCTCCGTCAGCACCGAGTCTGGGGGGCTGCCCATCCAGAATGGCCGGAGGGTCTTCTCCTTCGCTGCCTCCCGGGCAGGGGGGGTCTCTGCCTTCCACCGAGGCTCAGTCCCTGTCGCTGCCACGTCCGCCGGGGGTCTGTCTTGGAGGGGCACCTCCGCGATGGGGCAGGCCTCGGCCCCTTCCACCACCCCCTCCCGTGGAGGAGGCCCCTTCTTGGGCTCGGCCGGCCGGGGCGTCCCCCCCGCCCCACCCTTCTTCCTGCGCTCGTAGCGGGCCAAGCGGGCCCCTTCCGCCGACCCTTCGATGTAGACCTGGGAGCTCTGCATCAGCTGGTACCACCAGCTGGCCTGCTTGTCTTTCTTGGGCTCGGGGGGCCCCTTCCACCGCGCCGACTCTGCTTCCCTCTCGGGGGGTGCCACCGATGGGGCCCCCTCGCCTTTGACCCTTCCTTCTGCTGCCTTCGCCGGGGGTCCCCCATGGCTCTCCCGGCCGCGGTCCTGCTCCGCCGCCCCCCAGCCACCGACGCTCCTCTCCAGGCTGCTGCTGGTGGTGCTGGTGGTGGCCCCCATGGCTGCTGCTGCTGCTGCCCCCCGGCTCCTCATCAGCTGGAGGGTGGAGTGGGCGGAGAGGACCAGGCCCTGCTGGACGCGGAGCATCTCCTTCTGCTGCTGCTGCTCCTTGCCCATCTGCAGCAGGTGGTGCTCAAAGAGGAGGTCCAGGCTGAAGGGGAGCAGCGAGAGGGGCTGGAGGAGGAGGAGGAGCTCCTCAAAGAGGCCCTGGCACACGCCGTGCGACAGAGAGAGGAAGCCCACCGGCTGGTAGTGCACCTGCACAATGTCTGCAGGGAGAGGGAGACAGCGAGAGGGAAGAACCGCGGGTTGTCATTCAGTCCACATGTGGTGGAGTCGAAAAAAATAAATAAAGAGCTTCTGGGAACTTATATACCATGAATTTTAAAAGATGCTCAAATTAACGTTTACCAAAAAAACCCCCGAAGCCTTTCTCCTACCCTGTTTTCCCCAAAATAAGACATCCCCCGAGTATAAGACCTACTTCCAGTTTTGCCTCTCGCTGTAATACCCGGTTTCCCCGAAAATAAGACAGTGTCTTATATTATTTTTTGCTCCCCAAAATGAGCTAGGTCTCATTTTACAGCGAGAGGCAAAACTGGAAGTAGGTCTTATTTTCGAGGAAACAGGGTATTTTGGCATCCCCCTGAAAATAAGACTTCCCCAATAATAAGGCCTCCCCCAAACATAAGGCCTCCCCAGAATATAAGGCCCCTGAAGCTACCGTAAGGCGTCTGACTCTTCTGGACCGTATCGGCGGGCGCCGCCGCGCAGCTCACTGATTGGCCGCAGGGCAGCGGGAGCTGTTCAGGCAGTGCGAGGTCCCTTTAAATCAGAGAGCCGGTGCCGCCACCAGGACAAACTGCCGCCTGCTGCTCGCTCTGCCCTGACGGAGTCTGGCTGACTCACAATTAGACAATAAGTGTGTACCGTATTCTTCTTCATGGAAAAATACAGCATCCCCTGAAAATAAGACCTAGCGCATCTTTGGGAGCAAAAATTAATATAAGACACTGTCTTATTTTTTGGGGAAACAGGGTAGCTATCATGGCATCAGACATTCCAAGAGAGAAAAGGAGCCCCCCCCCCACAGCACAGGCAGGTGGGTGGGTGGTGCAGCAGCAGAGCCCTGCCTGGCTCTGAGGGGGGCACTCCTGCAGCATCGGTGGCTTCCCTGCCCCGGTCACTGGCAACCCTTGCTACGCCACTGCCTCCACAATCTGGCCGGATCCTCTTTTAAAGGCATCCAAGTTGGTGGCCATCCCTGCCTCCTGGGGGAGCTGTGGAGAACGGGTGCCTGGCTCCCTCCCCAGTTCCGCTCGCCCCCAAAATGCTCAAAGCACCCTTCACAATGCCAGAACGAGGCTGATTCTCCGTGGCTCCCATTTCTCGGACCTGACCGGGACGCTCTCCTGCTTCCCCCGGCAAGGTGCTCGACTCAAGGTGGGCAGCTCTGCAGAATCTTCCTTCTGGCCATTGGCCAAGATCCCAACCACTACATTCGGATGCCGGCCACCTGCCCCCCCCTCCCTGCCACCTCTTCTTACCTTCGTGGTTGTAGAGGTGGTTAAACCAGAACTCCAGGGACCGGATGCTGTTGGAGGAGAAAGCAGAGAGAGAGAGGCTGAGAGTTGGTCAGTCTCATGTCCAGGACCCACAAGTGTGGGCCTGGCAGGGAGGACACCCCAGCTGCCAAACTGCAAGGCAGGCTGATGGCTGGAGTTTCTGGCGTCACAGGGGCCCCCAAGGAAAGCCCCGCTGCCATGTGGGGACCAGCACTGTGGGGAAAGGCCCCCATGGGAGTTTTGGCTGGCCAGAAAGTTATACAAGAATCAGACCTGAGTTCCGGTTTGTGAGGTGGCAGAAAAGGCTTTCTCATGGAGAGATGGAGATTCCCCCAAGTCTTCAGGCCTGGCTTTAAAGCACAAAATTCTATGAGCGGCCAAGGGGTGGAGGGGGGTGTTCCATGGAACCCCTCACCTTCCTCCCTTGGAATCACATATTTGTGGAGTCGCAAGGGAACCCCAAAGGTCATTTGGCCCAACCCCTGCAATGCAGAGACCACAGGTGAACCACAGACATTGGGAGTGTCTAGCTTTATTGTGGGGGGTGGCGCCCTGGAGATTTGCTCATATCCCTCACATTCTCCCCACCGCCCGCCCCCCTTGGGCCCACCCCAAAGGGCTGGCGTGAGAAGGCGGAAGCAGCGCTTACTTGAGGAGGCCGAGGATGAAGGCGTTGAAGCGCATGGAGTGGCTGGTGAGCTCCGGGTATTGGCTGACTTTGCTGCAGAGGCCGTGCAGGACCTTGGTGGAGGGGCCTGGGGAGGAAGGGGAGAATCACCAAGGTGCAGCGTTGGAGGGGACCCCGGGGTCATCTAGTCCAACCCCCTGCAAGGCAGGTATCGCCGTACAACATCCCCAAGAGACAGTTTTAATCTGTTTTCAGCTTATTGCTATCTCAACTTTTCGAAAGTCTTAAATAGTTTCTGCTAATATTTCTCATCAGTTTATTGTTTAAACTTTTTCTGCAAATCACTTTGAGGTTGGTGTTTTCTTTTGCATCAATCTTGAAATAAATAGTCATTGATGAAGAGAGCATGAGGGTGCAAACAGCCCAAGGGGATTCCGGCTTCAGGATTCAAACATTGGAAAGTCTCTCTTTTGCCCCAAGTTGCTGGTTTTGACCCGTAACGCCAGTCGGAGCCCAGCTGGGATCTTTTAAAGAAGCCTTCGCCTCCTCCTCCTCCTCTTGTGATCTTGGAGGTTTCTTCAAACATATACCCACCCGGCTTGATCACATTCAAGCCAAAGCTGTTTCCAACATGCCTTTAAAGTATCATGTTGTTATTTAAACCACGTAAAACCAAGGTTGGAACAGAGGAGTCCCACTTGATGTGCGTATTGGAAAGCTTCGATCGGTGGAACTGGCACAACTGCAGGTGCCCCATAATCCCTGTGCAAAGCCAGCTGCTTAGTGTGCCAACGGCCTGCCCTCTGGAACTCCCTGCCTCTTGATGTCAGGAAAGAAGCCCCTGTACTGTGGTCCATCTGGCATCTGCTTTAAAGCATTCTTGTTTAGATAAACCTGCTCAGATGTTTAACATTTTAAAATAATTTCCAATCTGTTTTAGTCTTTTAAATTTTGTATGTTGAATATTTTTCTTCGTTTTCTTGTTTTATCTTTTTTGTAAACTGCTTTGAAGTTTGTTTTTGTTTGTTTTTTAAAAAGCGGTCTATACATTTTATTAAAAAATATATATATTTCAATGTGTGGGGTGGTGACCAGAAATTTTCTGCACCGGGTACCACCTGGCCTTGCTACGCCACTGCCCCCCAGGACCCCTGCGCTGCCTACCCAGCTGGGTGGAGGCCTCCACCACGCTCCAGGGGATGTTCCTCCTCTGGCCGATGATGACGTCCAGGACGTAGGCCTTGAGCCCGTCGCTCAGCACGTCCCGGATGGCTGGGCACAGGTACTTCAGGATGAGGTGCCCCACATTGGGGCTGACGGAGCTGTTCCCCAGTTTGGCCTGAGAAAGGAGGGAGAGAATCAGAGGACGGCAGAGAAAGAAGGTTCTTCTGACCACATGGGGTGGTCTGGTAGGAAGGTTACAGCTAACTGGGAAACGCTGGAAAGAAGAAGGTGTCTCAGCTAAGGAAGACTGGCAAGTGAAATTAATGGAATATGCTGAAATGGCAAAATTGACTTTGAAATTAAGAGGAAGAGATGACAATAAATTTAAAGAAGATGGGAAGGACTTTACTGCATATCTACAGAAGCAGTGTACACAGGTTAATACATCAGCAGGATTTTAAAAATACTCATAAAGACATTATGGCTGGACAATAACTAATTTTAATGATTTTATAATTAAATGATTTTTATAATTTTAAATGGACATGTGGTATAATGATAAACAATAGAACCATGGAAAGGAATAGGGGGAAGTTAACTCTATTTTTTTCTATGTTTGAATATGTATTGTTTTTTACTTTTTGTTGTTTTTGGAAAATTAATTTTAAAATATTTTTTTAAAAAAAAGCTTACAGGGAAATGGTATACAATGAATTGAAAAGGATGTTCAAAGTAATTTTATTTAAAAAAACAACCAGAAGCTTTTCTTTTGGGATTCATAGGGATAGAACTACCTAAATTGTACAGAAATTTATTGATGTGTGCTACTACAGCAGCAAGAATGCTACTTGCCCAAAAGTGGAAAGATGGATACAAAAACTTATGGAATATGCAGAAATGGTGAAACTTACCAGAAGAATAAGAAATCAAGATAACAAACTTTTTATAAAAGAATGGAAATGGTTTATGTATTGAATATTTACAGATAAATTGCGAACAGATAAAAGCATTAGCAGGATTATTGTAATAACCTGCAGTTTCACAAGAGTATAGATTTAAAGCAGATAATTAAATGAGCAAACTAAATGAATGTGGATATGCAGAAAATAATAAAATAAATAAATTTAAGGAACAGCAGCAAGTAGGATTCGAACCCAGGGTGTTCTCTTAACCCTCTTTTAAAGTCCCATAGTGGGATGAAGCCCAGACAAGACAAAGGGGTCTTTAACTCAGGGACCAGGGAACTGTAAATACGTAATTCCCTTTGTACCATGATGGAGTAAGCCTGAAAGACTATATTTGAGTGACATGGGCCTGCCTGGATCTCAGGTTCTACCTGAGACCACACCTTTTCTGTGACATATCTGTGATGTCTTGATGATGCTTCTGGAAACGTATTATAGGAAACTTTGGGAAACTTTTAAAGACTGACATAACTCACTGTTTGGGGCTACTCTCTGTTTTTTCTATGTTGTAGTTTGGAGTAAAAACAAAAAAAATTCCTTCCAGTAGCACCTTAAAGACCAACTAAGTTAGTTCTTGGTATGAGCTTTCGTGTGCATGCACACTTCTTCAGAAGTGTATCTGAAGAAGTGTGCATGCACATGAAAGCTCATACCAAGAACTAACTTAGTTGGTCTTTAAGGTGCTACTGGAAGGAATTTTTTTTTGTTTTGACTATGGCAGACCAACACGGCTACCTATCTGTAGTTTGGAGTCTACAAGATCAGGCCTTCCGACCGCTGGTTTGCTTCAATTTCTTGGCTGTAGCCTAGTTTGACCTTCCAGCCTAAGCCTGCGGAACTCACTGCTGCAGGTTGGACTAGAGGAGAATTAGGGGTCCTTCCCAATTCTATATGGGACGCGGGTGGCGCTGTGGGTTAAACCACAGAGCCTAGGACTTGGCGGTTCGAATCCCCGCGATGGGGTGAGCTCCCGTTGCTCGGTCCCTGCTCCTGCCAACCTAGCAGTTCGAAAGCACCCCAAAAAGTAGATAAATAGGTACCGCTCCAGCGGGAAGGTAAACGGCATTTCCATGCGCTGCTCTGGTTCGCCAGAAGCAGCTTAGTCCTGCTGGCCACATGACCCGGAAGCTGTATGCTGGCTCCCTTGGCCAGTAAAGCGAGATGAGCGCTGCAACTCCAGAGTCGGTCACGACTGGACCTCATGGTCAGGGGTCCCTTTACCTTTACCTTTACCCAATTCTATGATTCTATGATCTCTGGTTTAAAGGTGAGAAAGAGTCAGAGAGACAAAGTGTTCCTGCACTAGGCAGGTCAATAAATCTGACCAGGCTCAGATTCATCCTGTTTGACGCTCTCTAATGATGCACCCCAGAGCACTTTCCCCCAGGCCAATGACGCACAACACCCCTGCAGAGAAGGCCACCATCCTTTCCCTTTGAGAAGCGACTTGGCCAAGGCCACGTAATGAGTCGGGGGGGGGGATCTGGAGCTGGGACTCTCAGCAACGCCCCCCGCCCAGCCTGTTTGGTCAGTGTGCTCGATTCCTTGCATCTCCTTGCAAGCTCCCCCCTGCAACCCAGTTCAGGGTTTCCGCCCCCACCAGATAAGGCGGGATTAGAGCAGTAAGATTAAGGCGAAACCAGACTTGAACTCGGCCCAGACCAAACTGCAGAAGCCTCAAGCTCCGCAGCGTTAAGGGACGCTCAAGGCTGTGACCTGTCTTGGCTGCAAATCCTCAGGATTACTATAAATAAATAAGCGAGACATAAACCCTGGCGGGGGGGCAGCTGGAGCCGGGAGGGAGTTTGAGGAACAGGGCAGGGTCACGCGGCTGCCGATGTCTCAGCCTTTCCAGGAACAGGAGAGGCTCCCTTGCCAAACACCCCCCGTCTCTGGGAAACAAAACCCTCCCGCTGCAAGACACATTTCCCACTGGCAGAGGGTGCTGGTCATGGAATAACAGAATTGCAGAACTGGAAGGGTCCCGGGGGTCATCTAGGCCAACCCCCTGCATTGCAGGAATCTCTGGGCCAAGGCGGAGCTTGAACCCGTGTCCCTGAGATTAAGTCTCATGCTCTACTGACTGATCTAGCTGGTCCACAAGTCCAACCCCCTGCAGTGCAGGAATCGCAGCTAAAGCGTCTCTGACAGATGGCCAGCCAAGCTCTGTTTTAAAAACCTCCAGTGGAGGAGAGTCCTCCACGTTGGTTCTGGTGCTCCCATACGGAGCAGGAGAAAAGAAGCTGGCTCCATCTTCCCCGTGGAAGCCTCTGAGATCTCCTCTCAGGACTCAGCAAAGACACAACTGTTTGAATGCGCTATAAACCTGCAACACCAGATGGCGCCAGAGAGCAGAGAATTTTTACACCCGTTTTTTCCATAGGGCTTTCCCCCCCCTTTTGTTATAACGATCTAATTTCTGATTTATTTATAGCATCTCCCCCCCCCCCCGTGTGTAGACCCACCTTCAGTCTCCTTTTCCCCAGGCTAAACATCTCCAACTCCCTGAGGGAGCTACAGTACAGTGGTACCTCTGGTTGTGAACAGGATCCGTTCTGGAGCCCCTTTGAAACCTGAAAGGAACGCAACCCGCATCTGTGCATGCACGGGTTGTGATTAGCCGATTCTGTGCATGGGCGTGACATCATTTTGCGCGTCTGCGCATGTGCGAGTGGCAAAACCCGGAAGTAAGCCTTTTTGGTACTTCCGGGTCACCGTGGGACGCAGTCTGAAAATGCACAACCTGAAGCAAACACAACAAGAGGTATGACTGTATTCTTTTTCAAGATTCTGCAGAGTCCCCTTGCACCCACAGCCTGGGATTCAATAGGCTTGGGTTCCTACTCTCGTGCCAGGTTTTCCTATGAAGCTTTGCCCAGGATTGCTGCAAGAAAGGCTTCTCCTCAAGGAGAGGGAGGGGTCCAGATCCTGACTCACAAAGGGCTCCTCTTTGGGAGCTGACCTGGGACCTGGCAAACCATGGGACCCCCCTGGCCTCGTCTCCCCGCTTGCCCACCGCTCTCCTGATCATTAACAAAGCTGAGCGTTGGAAGACTCGGGAGGGAGAAAAGGAAGCACTTTGCCAGCAGGAACAACTGCTTCATGCAACACAGAGTGAAGCTATGGAACTCCCTCCCACTGGAGTCAGTGATGGCTTTAAAAGAGGGTTAAGAGAACACCCTGGGTTCGAATCCTGCTTGCTGGTTCTGTGAAACACAAGAGCAGTCAAGTACAACTTTCCTAGAGTGAACATGTTTACACATAGGGAGGACTGTTTGTCCAGCCAGCAGGTAAACTTCCTGTTTCCTTCTGGCCTGGGACAGACTTCCTCTGCATGTGACAAGAGGTGGGCGTGGCCTCACCTGTGCAGGTAACGACAAAAGCACAGGGCAGCCACCTCTCTCTTTTTTTACTACATGCATCGAAGAAGCAACATCTGCTTAGCCAAGAGAGGACAAAGGGACTGTCTCCTTATGAGATAGTTTCCAGGTATATGTTTCTTTTCTAAGCTAAGTCTGCCTTCTGGGATCCAATTGTGAACAGAATGATGTGTGAGTAAACCTTTTTATACTTTTATAGAAAACTGTGTCATGTCTTATCTTTTATGAGGGAATCAGGGGGAAATACCAGAACAGTTATTAGAGAGGCTTTAGCGAGCCTGAGCAAATGCATCCACTGCAAGTTTAAAAAGGGGAATGTTACTCTGCTACATTGTGGAACTTGTTAACACAAGTTGGAAAGGCTATAATCAGACAATATATCCTCTCCTGCCTCCCTGAACATTCCCACAGGTTCCCCACGGACAACTGTGAGAAGAGGATGCTGGACTAGATGGGCCGTTGGCCTGATCCAGGACAGGCTCTTCCTACTTGCGCTAAAGGGACAGGGGCTGGGGGGGGGGCGCAAGCGATGGTGGTGGCAACGTCTTGAACGGCAGGGAAGGGCTCTGGGAGCCCCTGGAGGATCCTGGCTGGTCCTGGTGACCTAGACCCAAGGAAGGGGAGGGGAGGCAGAGGGAGAAAAGGAGGGACTTTGGGGCTCACCTTCACCCCAGGATCCCTGCTGGTCCCAAAATGCGCCACAATCAAATCCACAGCCATGTTGATCGCCTTGACGAGACCTGGGGGGCAGAAAAAGAGGGCAGGTGGTTGAGGGCCCTCGCCGTGCATCCCTCACCTGCCCCACACTGCAGAGAAGGTCCCAGGAAGTCCATCCCCAGAAGTTTCCTTCTTGAATAAAACTCAAGGAATCCTAGAATTGCAAAGCTCCATCTGGTGTGTCCCTAGCCCCCCTGACATGCATAATAATAATAATAATAATAATAATAATAATAATAATAATAATTTATTATTTATACCCCGCCCATCTGGCAGGAAACTTAGAGATCTGAAGGTGTAATCCTGCTGCCTCTATTATCTTTGAGAATTCTGGGAGAATCCTGGCTCCAGGAGCCAGCAGGAATTCCTGCCCAGTTGCAACGGAAGAGGCGGCCCGTCTGTCCCCTACACTTGAGTAGGAGAGAGTGAGAGCCCAGATTGGGGGCGAGGCTCAGCCCCCAAACGTGTTCAAGAGCTTCAGTGCCCGAGTGAGGCTGCTGCCATCAGCAACATGCAAAGATGGGCCACTCAGATAAACTAGAAAGGACCGAATTTCCCAAAGACTCGTTCGGTGCTGGGAGGGGAGGAAGCGACTGGATCTGGCCCATGTGCTGGAGCGCTGACTCTCCCCACAAAGGCCATCTCCCCACAACTGCCGGTAGCTGAAGTGGGAGGCAGGGAGAGAGATTATAATTTTACTCATTTATTCGTCTCTCAATCTCTTTCTCCCAGGAGCTCAAGGCGGTGCTCCCCCTTGCGATAGGAATTTTGAGGTCTTAGGTATATGTTCAATGTTCATAAGTGTACCAACCAAGCACATACATAGATCAGCACAGGAAGACCGACCTGAAACCATTTTTGATTCCCAAACTGACCAAATGTTTTCTCTGCAAGGTCAAAGGAAAATGGAAAAGCCTCCCCATTGTCTTTTCCTTCACAAATCCTGTCTTAAGGGCGCATTTAAGATATGAATAGGGTGTGAGCCTGTGACTAAGTATTTATCATTACAAAAGACTGGCCAGGCTCCCCAGGCAATCCAATCAAGTGACCATTAAACAGGTAACCTGGCAGACAGGAGGTAAACAAAGCACTCAGATTTCTGCTGTAGACCGCCCTTTCTGTGATGTAGGCATGATGTATGGAGGGTTGGTCTTGAGCTCCAGGGCAGGGAATTTAAAATATCAATATAAGGCCTTGTGCGCCATTGTTCTGGGTCCTCCTCCTTTCCTGCGTGTGAGGAGAGCCCCCTGTTGCAACAGATCAATAAAGATCAGGCTTAGTAGCTGGCCTCTGTTATTTTCTCCTACCAATGGGGAACCTACGTAAGGACTCTATATGGGCTCTTGGGTACCCCATAAGGGGGAAAGGGGCAGGTTTTTGTATACAACATCCTCCTCAACAACAACCCTGCGAGGCAGGATGGGCTGAGAGAGGCAGCGACTGGCCCAAGGTTGCCCAGTGAGATTCATGTGGCTGAAAGGGGATTCAAACCCTGGTCTCTCCCAGGTACTTGTCGTTGGAGTCCCCCAGCCCCTGATACGACGCTCAGTGGGTAGCCCCCTCCTCCCCACACTCTCCTTCCTTTATCTGCTCTCCTCATGCACTTTGGGGACACTTTGGGGGTGTTGTCTGTCAATCGCCACTCAATCTGATGCCCCCCAGGGACCAAGAGCCCCCCAAGCCCTTTGCTCAGCTGTCTCTGGCTGAAGGGCAAGGCGGTGGGGAACCCCACTTCCCTGCCTGGCACCCCACAGATGCTGCCGGGGCCTCACCCTTCTTCTGCAGCAGATCGATGGAGATGGACTCTGTGTTGCCGTCCGGAGAGAGGCAGAATTCGGCCGGGGGCTTTTCCGCCAAGGAGAAATAGTCCGGGAAGAAGTCGGAGTAGTTGAGCTGCGGCTGCTTCAAGGAATGTCCTGCAGGGACAGAGAAGGGGAAGGAGACGGGCAGGGTCAGATCCGGCTCCTTTGTGACACGTAGAGTGGCTGGCACAACCCAGCCAGATGGGCAGGGCATTAATATAATAATAATAATAATAATAATAATAATAATAATAATAATAATACAACAACAATAATGTAAGAGCAAAAGTAGAGCCCTGTATCTGGATCAGGCCAAAGGGGGCCCATTTAATCCAGCCTCCTGTCCCCACACCCAGATGCCCCCATGGGAAACCCGCAAGCAGGATTCGAACCCAAGAGCAACTCTCCCCTCCTGGGGTTTGCAGCAACCGGGATCCAGAAGTAAAGCTGCCTCTGCCAGTCGGCAGAGTATGGTCTTCATGGCTCGTAGCCACTGGGAGAGATCGGTCCTCCATGAATTTGTCTAATTCAGTTTTAAATCCACCCAAGTGGGTGGCCATCCCTGTGGCAGGGAGTTCCATAGTTCAACACTGCGCTGCGTGAAGAAGGCCTTTCTTTTATCCATCCTGAAGGAGCAAAGGTTGGCTCTGGGGCTGGAGGGGGCTGTTGTCAGCCAGCCTTCACCTCCAGCCTCAGTTTCCCCACAGAAAAGGGGAGAGCAGCTCCCTGGAGGGGGGGACAGAGGGGGACTTCCTGCCCCGCCAGGAGGACCGGCTGAGGCTGGCAGGAGTCTCTCCTGGGCAACATCCAGGGACATTTCCCTGCAGCAACATCCTAGGCAGGGCTTGGGTGATACCAGGAGCCGGGCGGATTTCGCCTGGCCCTGCACAGCTCCTGCCTCTGCCCTGAAGGACCAAACTGGCATTTTGGCGGCTCTGTCCTTATCGGAGGGATGGCTAAAGACCAAGCTATGAATGCCATAAATCCGAATCAGTTGCTGTTCCGACTGAGGCTGCCATCCTGTCTCTCCATCTAGTCCAGGTACGTCCAACTGTATAAAGACCACGATCTACTCCTAGTACAATAAAACTGGGAGTGATCTGCCCATTGGCATTGCACAGAGTAGCTGAGCTTTTTTGGGGTGGAGAGACCAAAGCTGTTGAGCTTTCTTCATGGGGGGAGACCAAAGTTGCATTAAATAGCTCACCCTACAGCCTGCAGCTCCCACACCATCACACACTTTCCCCACAGATGAAGGGAAATAAGGCAATCACAAAAGGGCTGGCAGCAGCAAGGGGAAAGAGCAACGGGGGTGGGGCGCTCCGTGGTCGATCAGGATCACGCCAAGAACCACAATCGACCAGGAACACCCCGTGATCAACCGGTAGATGGCGTTCGACTGGCTGGACATGCCTGATCTAGTCCCTGCAAAGGTAGCGGCTGGGCTATCATCCCACCAGCCTGGGCACACAAGGGCATCCTCAAGGGCCACTGGCTTCCCTTGGACTCTGGGTCAGCCACAAAGCTCCCTGGCTGCCATCTTGGGCTAGCCTGGCCTACCTCGCAGGGCTGTTGTGGGCATTAAGTGAGGAGTGGGGAGAGCCGTGCCTGCCAGCTTGAGATGGGATATACGTGGAATAAACATTTTTCGCTCCATAAGACACACTTTTTCCTTCCTTAAAAGGGTGTGTGTGCGTCTTATGGAGCGAATGCAGGATGCGCAGCTATCCCAGAAGCCGAAACATCAAGAGCGAGAGCTGTGCAGCACTTCTGGGTCACTGGCTTTCCAGCGAAGCAGGATGAGAGACGGAAGGGGCTCCGTAAGGGCTCCTTCCCATCCCTCATCCTGCTTCGCTGGGAAGCCAGCAGACCAAGAGGCGCTGTGCAGCTCTCCCGCTTGCTGTGCTGGCTGAAGAGGCATTGCGCAGCTATCGCTGAAGTCAGCACAGCTCTTGGTCCGCTGGCTTCAGCGATAGCTGCGCATCTTGCTCTGGCTTTTCCGGGAGGTGGGAGAAGGGACGGAGCGCAGCCTGTCAGTCCCTTCTCCCACCTCCCGGAAAAGCCAGCAAGAGCCGCTCTATCTTTAAAGAGCCGCTTTTCTTGTTTTCCTCCTCTAAAAACTAGGTGCGTCTTATGGTCGGGTGCGTCTCATATAGCGAAAAATACGGTATATGATTTCAGAGACAGGGGGTTGGCATTCATGGCCCGCCGCTGAGTCCTCTCCTCCCATCCTGCCCTTCTAGGGGGTCCCTCCAAGGCCCCCTTTCAGCCCCCCCGCCCCGCCCCGAAGGAAGAGGGGAGGAGAGCCGCTTGCTGCCTGCCTCAGCCCCACGGGAGGAGGGGGCCCACCGTTGAGTCTGCAGCTGGCGCGGCCCGTGCTCAAGGGGAGCTCGAAGATGGGGTTCCTCCAGGGCAGCCTGCCCTCCGGCTGCTTCCAGTCCAGGCTGCCGGCCAGCCCCGAAATGCGGTCCAGGCCCAGGGGGTTCCTCCGCCGGTACTCCCGCCACTTGAGGGCTTGCGGAGAGAGGTGGTTGGCTGGGGGGGGCACCCGGGACGAGGCAGGGGGCAGCCGGAAGGAGAGATGGGGGAGAAGGAGAGGGGCAGAAAAGCAGGGGGGCAAAGGGGAGGAGGCAGGAACAGAGACAGGCAGTTAGTAGCAGCAGCAGCATCGGGGTGTTCAAGCGGTGAAGCCCCCCAAAAAGTACAGGGGAAACACACCTGGAGGGCACACCTGAGCGGGGCAGGTGGGGCAGGAGGCAGCTAGGCAGAGGAGGCGGCAGGGACCCCCGGCCATCTGATGCTTCAGAGGCCTTTCGCACACATGCACACAGGCATATTCTGCAGAATCCTAGAACTGTTGAAAGGGGCCCCTAGAGTCATCTAGACCACCCCCTGCAATGCAGGATGTGTCTCAGTTCCAGCACAGCCTGGCTTTCCCAGGGAGGGGAGTTGGAGAGGCGTGAAAGGACAGGAGTCAGTGCACCCCCAGGATTGGAGCCAGTCCTTGGCCAAAGACAGGCACACCCATCCCCTGCCCCCCCAGCTGTTCCCCAGGGGGAGGTTACAGGGGGGTAGCCTCACTCACAGGCAGTGGGGCCCTTGGCACAAAGATGGTGCCTTGGCATGCGTTCCCTGGAAGCAGGAGCCACTCGGGCTGGCGCAGCCTATATCTCCCCCCAACACCCAGTGTTTTGGGGGGTCCTGCAATTAAGGAAAATGGCATAGCCCCCCCCCAAACCCATGCACACTCCCAGATCTTTCCCCAAACACCCAAACCCTCCGCTGCATGACCGTCTCTGGACCGGCTACCCACCATTGAGCGGCCGAGGGCCCAGCGATCCTGCGCCCAGAGCCTCGCTGCAGCCGAGGGGCCACTGGGGCTCCCCGTGGTCGCCTGGCCTGGCCAGGATCAGCCCGGGGGGCATCAGGGGAGGCAGGGCGGTGCTGCGGTGGAGCTGGCGCTCGGGCGCGGGGGCCTCCAGTTCCGGCAGCACGGGAGCCTTCGTGGGCGCGGGCGGGGGGCTCTCCTTCTTGGCCTGCAGGGCGGTGCCGTTGGCGTTGCTGCTGAGGTTGGCAGCCTGGCTTCTTGCGGGAGGGGAAGTCCCGGCGGGCAGGAGGTTGGCAGAGACCGGGCAAGACCTGCTCCGGGGCGGGTGGCTCTCGTTGCCCGGCGAGCAGGAGGAGGAGGAGGAGGAGTCCGCGCTCTGGAAAAAAGGCACGTTGTTTCGCACGGGGGAGTAGCTGCCCAGCGGGGACGGGCGTGTGGTCTCCGGCACAGGCTTCCTGGCACAGCCGTCCCCCAGGGAGGCCGCCCCGTCCGCCGAGCGCTGGCCGTGCCCCAGGGCCGCCGCCTGGACCACCATCTCGGCCGAGGTGGCGGAGGCCGAGGACTGGGAGGCGGAGGAGAGAGTCTGGCTGGCGGCCGAGCGGCTGTAGAGCTGAGAGAGGCTGGCGGCAAAGTGGCTGTGCAAGGCCCGCGCCTTGGGCTGCTTGGCAAAGTGGTGCTGGAACACAAAGGGCTGGATGGGCAGGGTGGTCGGGCGCTGGGCCTTGCTGTAGCGCACCACCGACTTGCTGTCCGCTGCGCCGCCTGCAGAGGGAGAGAGAGAAAACGTGAAAGGACACCAGGGGACCCAGGCACCTCTTCACCCAGTGCCCAAAGGCCCCATAGAAGATTGGACTGCAGATAGACTGCCTCTGGAGCTGGAAGTTCCATAAGAGCATGAGAAGAGATAGCTGGGTCAGGCCAAAGGGGGCTAAGGATATCTCTAAGGACAAACATCTCTAAGGATGTAGTTTTATAAGAATTCTAAGGTCTCAAATAAAACATAAATGTTCATAAATGTACAAGGCAAACACATACATAAGTATATAAACCACATGTCTGAAATAGTACAGGGGAGCAATCCTGAAGCCATTTTGACTCTCCCAAATGGACCTCAAATATTTCTCTGCAAGGAGGAAGGAGAAGGGGAAAGCTTTCCAGAGGTCTTTGCACTGTAGGGACTGCTTACACCTCCCTTTTCAAATACAGTCTGGCAAGTATCTGTTAAGCGGAGCACACTCTCAATATGCGTAAGAGGTTCAGGAAGTATTTACCATCTCCGAGGAATGGCCAGGCTACCCAGAAAATGCAACCAAGTAAGGCCTTATCAGGTATCCTGGCAGACAGGAAAGAAGCAACACTCTCAAATTTCTGCTGGGGACCGCCTCCTTCTGTGATGTATGGATGGTGTTTTGGGGTGGTGGTCTTGGGCGAATTAAAAAGCCACTCTCACCTCATCCCTCTGCACTCATATCAGGATGGACACTCGATGAACAGTTAGCTGGAAGCGTCCACTGCACATAGGAGCCAACTCCATGGGGCCGAGGGCTCTTCAATCCCCCAATAAAGTATTTCAGGGAGCCAGCCCCCCCTCAAGTTGATGGGTATTGCCATTCATGTGGTGTGCGTGCCCCATGCCACGTGATTGATTATGTGGGTCGGGGCTTACCTGAGCCCCCCCAATATTTTATTCAAGTTTGTGCCCCTCTGTGTGTGTTGCTTTTTGCAGTGAAAGGCTCAGTCTTTGGCATAAATGTCTGTGAAATGATGCCCAACACAGACGCTGTCCAGTCTAAGTGCCTCCATCACTCTGGAAACCTGAGTCAGAGGCAGCCTGGCAGGTGCTGCTCTGGGCATCTCCCCGAGGTTGGCGTGACCCTCCCAGGAGAATCACACAGGCAGCCCCTTTCGGAGCCTCTGGGTCAGTGTGCCCCTTGGAGCAAAAGGGAAGTGGAGAAGGGGAGGGCAGTGTGATAAGAATTTTAAGGTCTTAGATATGTAATAAATGTTCATAAATGTACCAAGCAAACACGTACGTAAATATATAAACCACATGTCTGAAAACCCCACAGAAAACAGTCCTGAACAATTTGACCTCAATTATTTCTCTGCAAGGTCAAAGTGGGAAAACTCCCCATTGTCTTTTTCCTTCACAAATCCTGTCTTAAGGGCACATTTAAGATATGAATAGGGTGTGAGCCTGTGACCTGGCTCAGGAACTAAGTATTTATCATTACAAAAGACTGGCCAGGCTCCCCAGGCAATCCAATCAAGAGACCATTTAACAGGTAACCTGGCAGACAGGAGGTAAACAAAGCACTCAGATTTCTGCTGTAGACTGCCCTTTCTGTGATGTAGGCATGATGTATCTGGGGGGGTGGTCTTAGGTTACACCCCTTCTGTGATGTATGTATGATGTTTCTAGGGGTGGTCTTGGACTCCAGGGTGGGCAATTTAAAATGTCTATATAAGGGTGGGCACACCTTGGTTCTGGGTTCCTCCTCCTTTCCTGTGTGTGAGGGGAGCACCCTGTTGCAACAGATCAATAAAGATCAGGCTTACTAGCTGCTTTGCTTCTCAGTATTCTCTGGTTGGCCTCTGTTATTCTCTCCTACTAATAGGGAACCTACGTAAGGACTCTATATGGGTTCTTGGATACCTCATAAGGGGGAAAGGTCAGATTTTTGTTTACAACAGCAGGCAGAATGGGGCCTCCTCCCGGATGGTCAAGCCAGTCCTCTTGCTGAGGCCGACTGGCCCCTTCGGCTCTGCTGGACTCTCCTTTCCATGGTCCAGGGAAAGAGGCTCCTTGAATCCCAGAGAGGAACGGCTAAGGGAGCTGGGCATGTTTAGCCTGGAGAAGAGGAGGTTACGGGGTGATATGATAGCCATGTACAAATATATAAAAGGATGTCACATAGAGGAGGGAGAAAGGCTGTTTTCTGCTGCTCCAGAGAAGCGGACACGGAGCAATGGATCCAAACTACAAGAAAGAAGATTCCACCTAAACATTAGGAAGAACTTCCTGACAGTAAGAGCTGTTCGACAGTGGAATTTGCTGCCAAGGAGTGTGGTGGAGTCTCCTTCTTTGGAGGTCTTTAAGCAGAGGCTTGACAACCATATGTCAGGAGTGCTCTGATGGTGTTTCCTGCTTGGCAGGGGGTTGGACTCGATGGCCCTTGTGGTCTCTTCCAACTCTATGATTCTATGATTCTATGATTCTATGATTCTAAGGTTTTTTGGAAGCTGAGTACAGGAAGTTCATTTGGAAGTTCCAATTGGAAGCAGCCAATTGGAAGCCGCAACTTGGTTTCTGAACCGTTCTGGGGGTCGAATGGACTCCTGGAACAGATTAAGTTTGACAACAAGGTACCACTGTACCTCAAACTGGACAAGGAAGCAACCCACCTCCCTCTTGATTCCGGCCACATTTTGGATCTTCACATTGACTTGGAAGAGCGGGAAGGCCCCAAGGGTCATTGTGATAAGAATTTTGAAGTCTCAGATATATATTAAATGTTCATAAATGTACCAACCAAGCAAGTACATAGAACAGCACAGGAAGACCGACCTGAAACCATTTTGATTCCCAAACTGACTAAATGTTTTCTCTGCAAGGTCAAAGGGAATTGGAAAAGCCTCCCCATTGTTTTTTCCTTCACAAATCCTGTCTTAAGGGCACATTTAAGATATGAATAGGGTGTGAGCCTGTGACTGGCTCAGGAACTAAGTATTTCTCATTACAAAAGACTCTATATGGGCTCTTGGATACCCCATAAGGGGGAAAGGGCAGATTTTTGTTTACAACATCATCTAGTTCAACCCTCTGCAATTCAGTTTCCCTCTCCTGCCCCTGCCTTGAAAGCCTCCCTTCATATTTGCTGCAGCCCTCCTAGGGATGTGGTGGCAGAGCCCTGCCTGGTCCTCTGGCTCAGGGACAGCAGCTCCCAACCCTGGGATAGAAAATCATCCCTCTCCTAAGCCCTCACTTCCAGCAGAGCTCTACAGCTAAGATGGATGCAAGCAGAATCTCCCCCTGCCCTCCATTCCTCTTCATGGCCAGCTGACCCCTGCTCTGCTCCGGCAATGTGGACAAGTGGCCCCTCCAGGCACTGCATGGCCTACCTTGACGTGGAGCTGGCACCTCAGCCAGGACTAGCTCCTTGCCCCAGGGCAGCACAGCACAGGTCGAGAATCACACTGGGACAGCCCCTAGCAACAGCCCCCACCCCACACGCCAGGCCAGCACCAAGCACGGGAGGGATCACCCAGGTGCCCGATGAATGAAAACCAGCAGGGCAAAAAACCAGCTGAGGCAACAAACCAGCGGGGCAACAAAGTGAGAAAGCAACCAAAGCAACTTCGAAAGCAGATGGAGAGCAGGAACGATCTCTGCTTAAAAGGCTCGTTGGGAGAGGAAGGGCTTCAGCAGGTGCCAAAAAGGTGACAGAGGCTGCCTAATATCCCAGCGGAGGGAAAATGCCCTGGAAAATGCCAGGCAAAGCTGGATGAGGGCTCAGCCGGCAGGTCCTGTGGGAGCCACAAGTCTGGCCGCCCCCGGGAGGACTTTGGCATCTGCCTGGGCAAGCAAGCCTCGCTCAGCCTCAGAGAATGGCGCAGGCCAACCCGGCAGGGCCGTTGTACGGGTTTTGAGGCTGCCGTCGCGTGTGCCAAGCAGTCAGAGCCCTCAGAAAGTGCAGGGCAAGTCATTATTGGTGCTAATTGGAATATCTGAAGGCCTTTTTGGGACCAAGCCGTGGTCTAAAGGGGAACCATGAGTCAGCCCAGTTCTGCCCCTGGACAAAGCAATAAGGCGCATCCTGCTAACATCACCAGATCCTTGGATCCAATCAGGATTTCATACAAGCATCTGAAAAGGGGAGAACAGCTTCTCCGAGGCTGTGCTGGACGAGGCCCTGGAAAAACCGTGTCAAGCTGGAAGGATGGAGCAGGGAGGCTCAAAAAGCATCCCATGGGGGGGGTGTAGGAGTCAGCAGTGGGGGGGGCGGACCAGGGCCCTCCCTTCCCCCACCCACCCTGATTCACAGCTCCCTTCCCCCCTTGAACCATCTATGTGTAGGGGGGGCTGTGGGGGTTTGAGCCTCTGCCCTGGACCCTCTTGGAAGGGGGTCCATAGGAACCAGCAAGGGCCAGCAAGAGACCCCCACCCCCACCCCTCGATGGGGGCTGCAAGGGCAGAATCTGCCCCTCTGGTGGCCAGGCATGTTTGCCTCCTCTTCCTCCTCATGCAAGAGGGGCTCCCCCCCAACACCCCCCCAACCCCTCCAGACCTTTTCCCTTGGGATGTCCTGGGCTGGCGCTCCCGGCAGCTGGAGGTGTTTTGCTTCCCTGGGAGAGGAAGGCGGAGAGCAGCTGCCTTGGCCCCTCCCTGAAATGGGAGCCCAGCTGCGCAACACGAGGGTCTCCTCCTGCTGCTGCCGGCACAAGACCAGCTTCTCCCCTTTCAGCTCTGCTCCTCCAGGCCAGGCTCCCACTTGGGAGGCGACTCGGAGCTGCTTTGGACAGAGATCTCTCCAAGGGGGACAATTCCTGCCTCCAGGCAGGGTCTCTGGTCCTGCCAGGAGCCCCAGGAAGGTAGGGAACTGGGGAGTCCCATATGCACCCTCCCCAGGAAACTGGGTGGCAGCTGCAAGGAGACCAAGGGGGGTTATTAGGTGTTATGCTGGAGTGGATGAAGAAAATGAGGTTTATATATAGCGGACAGACCAAGAACCAGAAGTTCTTTAGCTTCTAAACTTCGCTCTCTCTCTCTCTTCTAAATCTTTTTCTATTCCTTTTTCTTTATCCCTCCCTCCCTTCCTCCTCTCATCTCCTCTCCTCTTTCTCTTTTTTGCCTTTAGATTAATGTTTTAGTTTGGCCAAAAATGAGAGAGAATATTCAACTGCAGGACTTGACATCTTTCCGCAGGGCCTGCAAGACAGAGCTGTTCTGCCTGGCCTTTGGTTTGGACTCAGTCTGACTCTTATGTTTTCCCTCCCCTTATGGTTTTGACTTTTAAAATGAGGCTGTATTCTAAATTGTTTTTTCTTTTTCTTATTCTGTTTTTACTGAAATTTTATCGGTGTTAGCCACCCTGAGCCACCACACTAACCTCTCCGTACGTAAAAAGACAAGGCCCTTTAATTCAGACCAAATGCCTGCAGCTGCTGCCTCACTGCTGGTCCCCCCTCTGGGGCATCGTCAGCTGTGTGGTGGCTGCACCCAGAGACAGTGGGGTGCTTCCACAGCTCCCCACATGGTCCAGCCCCACTGCATGCAAAGTCTTCCCTGAGGCTCTTTGGGGAGCCACGAACGAGCTGTGCTGTCCCTCCCAGACACCCCAAAACCCCCCATCAGACAAGAAGTGGCCCCAGTCCAGATCAGGACCCCCAGTTCACCCACAAGGATGTTCTGGCCTGGGAGGAAATGTCCCCTGCTGGCCCCGAGGGCTGGTCCCCTGAAAAGCCTCATCCTGCCCATCATCACCCTTTGGGGGAAGCCATGTCTATAGAATCACAGAATTCTGGAGTTATAAGGGGCCCCCAAGGGCCATCTAGTCCAGCTCCCTGCGACACAGGAATTACAACTTGAGCATCCCTGACAGGGGGCCACCCAACCTCTCTTTGAAAGCCTCAGCTGAATCACAGAATCCTAGAATTGTTGAGCTGGAGGGGACCCCAAGGGCCATCTAGACTGACCCGCTGCAATGCAGGAATCCCAGGAGGAGGAGACATTGAGCCGACTGCCCCCCCCAGCATTTAGACAAACACGCACAATCCACCGGCCGCGAGAGAGAAGCAGCGCGCCAGTCACCCAGGGCAGTGGCTTACCATCAGCTCGGGCACGAATGTCTTTCTGGCCAAGGCCGCTGGCAGACCCCTGCTCCATCAAGGCGGAGAAGAACGGCTGCGCGGGCCCCTCCTGCCCGCAGGAAGGCATCTCCCTGGAGCCCAGGCCCTTCCTGGGGGTGCTCAGCCCCCTCTCGGTGCCACGGTGGCCCTCGCAGCTGCGGTTGAGGGCGTGGGAGGGGAGGCTCTGGCTGTGCCTGGCCTGGCCCTCGAGGAAGACGGATCCGTCCCTCTGGTACTCGGGGATGGGGGAAAACTCCAGGGAAGAGTCCCTGCTGGTGCGCAGCGGGGGAGAGGAGCCCGTCTTCTTGCGGCCCTTGGCCAGCTCCGCAAAGGACGTGACCCGCTTGGGCGGGGAGCCATGGGAGGGCAGCGCAGGGCCGTCGCTCAGCTGGACCGGGCAGCTCATCATGCGCTCCAGGGAGCCCAGCCGGCCGGTGGGGCTGCGGTCCAGGCTGCGGTCGTAGCTGCGGGACCGCTGCCTCCGCGGGCCGGCCAGGGTGGGCGGCGAGACGTTGACGTACACCTGCCCCTCGATGGCGCCCTTCTCGGCCTCCCCCTGCGACTCCTCCCGCGAGCAGTCGGTGTCGCTGTCGGGCCTCTGGAACAGGTAGTACTCGGTGGGCTGCAGGGGGCTGCCCCGCGGCTGCTCCTCCGAGCAGCTGGTGATGGACGAGCCGGCCGGGCTGGGCGAGGACTGGGAGGACAGGTCGCAGGTGACCAGCTTGTAGTAGTTCTGGGTGGCCACCACCAGCCGCGCCTGGCTCTGGAAGCAGGCCGTCAGGTCGGAGGCCTCGGAGGCGCAGGGGTCACACAGGGCGGGGTAGGAGTTGCAGTTGGCGTCCAAGACCGGGGAGGAGGCGTGGTGGCACCCGCAGGCCTGGTGCGGCTCGCCAGGCGCCTTGGGCTCGCCGGGCGAGGAGTGCAAGTCCAGGTAGAAGGCCCCCGAGTCCGAGTGGCTTCCGGAGGAGGAGTCGTCGCAGGAGTGGGCCCCCGAGTTGAGGTTGGGGTGCGCGTGCCCGTTCATCTTGTTGTAGAGGGCGCTGAAGTTGACCAGGACGCCGTCGGAGCTGTTGCAGGAGGAGTCGCTGACGTAGCCCATCGGCTGGTCGGGGGCCTCCGACTGGCTGGAGAGGCTGTAGCAGCAGCAGCGCTGGAGCTCCGCGCTGGAGCAGCTGCAGGTCCGGCTGCGGGGGGCGTCCCGGCTGTGCGCCAGCTCCTCGCCATCGCTGGCCCACTCCTGCTCGAAGGAGAAGCTGGAGGGCTCAGCGCGGTGACAGCCGTACTCGTCCAGCTCCATCAGCTCAGGCGCCAGGCGGCTCCTCTTGCGGGCGTCTTCGCGGGACAGCTCGTCCTCCTCCTGGCCCTCCACCACGTCCGCCCGGGGGCTGGCGCTCCAGGGCTTCACGAGGGGGCTGGTGTCGTGCAGGCGGAAGGGCGGCAGGGCCAGCTCATGCAGGCGGAAGGGCGGCAGGGCCAGCTCGTGCAGGCGGAAGGAGGCCTTGCCCAGCTCATCTTCGCAGAGCTCCTGGGTCTCGCTGCCCCCCAGCAGGAAGGGGTTCTGCCGCTTGTTGGCACCGGGGGCAGGCGGGTCCCTGCGCAGGGCCTCCTTCTCTTCGGGCGTCTCCCCTGGGGCCAGGGTCGCTTCTGGAGCCTGGAGCAAGCTGCTGTAGAGCAGGGAGTCGGCCTGCGAGAGGTCCCGCTCCGGGAGGGAGCCGGTCCGCAGGGCCCCCGAGTCGGCCTGCCCAAAGGGGTTGGCCCGTTTGCTGGTGGTGCCGCAGCACGGCCGGTCGGGGACCTGGCAGTGCACCAGGGGGATGTGGTGGACAATCAGCGTCTCGCCGGCCAGCTTGGGGGGGCTATCCATCGTCGTCGCTCTCCAGGACCCCCGCGGTCCCCAAGCTACCCATGGAAGGATTCAGGTGAGGAGGGACTGCAGAAGCGCATCTCATCGAAGCATCGAAGGAGCACCTGCAGGAGACAAAGAGCAAGGAGTCAGCAGCCTGGAAACAAACGGAACCGACTGAGGGTCCCACTGCTGGTTCCTGCCTGGACCACCTTGGGAGACCCCTGCTCAGAACTCTTGTTGAGCCCCTGGGACTCCGCAAGTGGGACTCAGCAACAGAGTTAGTGACCCCCCCAGGGGAGGAAAGACTCAAGACCGAGAGGGGGGGAAGGAAAATGGCTCAGCACTATAACAGAAAGACCATCACAATCACAGGTAAATCAGTCTTTCTCAGAAAAGTCTTCGGCAGACTACTAAAAACCTATAGACACTAAAACAGAGGTTTTCAACCTTTTTGAGTCCATGTTTCCCTTGACCAGGAGGCCAGTTAGGTCCCCCCCCTTGCCTGCAGAGCTGGCAGCCCCTCACCCCTTTTCGAACCCCCTCCTTTGTGGAGTGTTCCCTCAGCTTCCTCTCCCCTCTCCTTGGGAGTCTTCTGGGCAGGTGCTGCTGCCGCCCCTGGTCTCTGAGCTGCCCCCCTGCCCCCAAGAGAGGGGCCTCCTCACACTGCCCCTCAGGGGCCTGGGAAGAGGATGCCCCCAGCCTTAGTGGTCCAACAGAGACTGGCCAAAGGTGAACGTGAGGCCAACGCCTTCTCTTGAGTGGCAGCAGCGGGCACTGCCAGGCCTGCATGGCAGAAAGGCTCCCCTTCAGATCCTGGGCAAGCCTTGCAGACAGCAAGCCCAAGAAAGCCAACATGGCCCTTGTCTGCTTGGCTCTCCATTCCCAACAGCTGGCAGACTGGCTGGCTGGCTGGGCTCCCTCGCCCGCCTGCTTGCTTGCTTACTCTGATGCTGCCTCAGCAACCAGCGCCCCCTGGCCAGCCCCAGAGGCACCATTCGCCTGGGGAGCTTGGAGCCAGGGCTGCTGCAACAAACAGCTGTGCAAGCCTTGGGGAGGCAGAGACGCAAGAGGGCATCAGGAGAGGGAGGGAAGGGAAGAGGGGCAAAGGCCAGGGTTGCCTGTGGCACCCCTGACCATCATTCAAGGCACCCCAGGGTGCCATCTGGTTAAAAACCATTACAGAGGATACTCGGGTTGCGAACATAATCCAGGTGGGATGCACGTTCACAACCTGCAGCGCTCGCAACCCACAGTGGCGCATCTGTGCATGTGCAGGTTGTGATTCAGCGCTTCTGCACATGCACAAAACACGATTTAGTGCTTCTGCGCATGCGCGATCCCGAAACCCGGATTTAACCTGTTCTGGTACTTCTGGGTTTCAGCGGGTCCATAACCCGAATAAACACAACCTGAAGCACCCGTAACCCAAGGTATGGCTGTAGTCTAAAAGAAATTAGAGCAAATAATTAAAAGAGAACTAAATTTGTTTCTGGGGGACGCGGGTGGCGCTGTGGGTTAAACCACAGAGCCTAGGGCTTGCCGATCAGAAGGTTGGCAGTTCGAATCCCCGCGACGGGGTGAGCTCCCATTGCTCAGTCCCTGCTCCTGCCAACCTAGCAGTTCAAAAGCACCTCAAAGTGCAAGTAGATAAATAGGTACCCCTCCGGCAGGAATGTGAACGGCGTTTCCATGCGCTGCTCTGGTTCGCCAGAAGTGACTTAGTCCTGCTGACCACATGACCCGGAAGCCAATACAGTAAAGCGAGATGAGCGCCGCAGCCCCAGAGTCGGCCACAACTGGACCTAATGCTCAGGGGTCCCTTTACCTTTACCTTTTTAAATTTGTTGCTACTGAAGAGGAACCTGGGGTCATGCACTCCCCACCTGCACCCCAACCGTATCTGCACTTGGTCGCACCTCCTTTCCCTGCATACACAGAGCACAAAACAGCCCCCGCACCCCCCCCCCCCCAGTTCTCCAGTCACCACTCATGTCACCCCAAGGCCTTGGGGTGTCTCTCTCCTTTGCCTTCCCGGGACACGTAGCATCCCATGACAACAGCCGAGCCGACGTTCCCCCTGGGTGCTTCTGCACCAAAACCACCCTTTTCCTGCCCAGGCCATGGATCTGTTTCCGACCCCCAAGAGCCAGAAGCTGTGGGGCTGGAGGCAAGAGCCTCTCCCTCGCGTGGACAGTCTCCCAAGGCAACCGAAGCAAAGAGCATTTTTCTGGAGAAGCCCATTGCCTGCCCCTCCTGCCAACCGCCAGACTCCTGGCCTCTTGACAGAAGAGCGTTTCTGAGTGCCCAACTCGCAGCCGGACCCCTTGGCAAACGGACCTTCCTGGAACAAGCTGATATTGCGCCCCCTCCATTAGGGAAGATGCCTACCTGCACGGTGACCCCCTGCCCCTGCCAGAAAGTAGGTTAATGGGATGCCGTGGGAACCTAGCAAGACCGCGTGGCGCAAGGGAGCCAGCGAGAGCCTTGAAGGAAAGAAGAGAGGTGGAGGGGGCCCAATCCACTCACCCAGAGTCCTCCTTTCTCAGGAGTCTGGGTCTGGTGCCCTTGGGAAATGGGGGGGGGGACTGTGTCCCCTCTGGAAGGGAACCCCAAGGCAGCAGCTGCCCACAGTCTGCCTTGTCCTCGCTTTCCTAATAAATAGCATTTGATTCCTGGCTCTGCTTGGAAATTCATAGGCTCCAGCCCCATTCTTAGAAATGTCTCCTAGTCCAGTGTTTCCCAACCTTTTTTGGGCAAAGGCACACTTGTTTCATGAAAAAAATCTCGAGGCACACCACCATTACAGCCCCGTGACGTCAGCGCGCAGCGTCACGCCGGGAGGGACATGAATTGCTAGCAAATTACATAATCACCTCCTTGAGGGCTGGCTCATCTTCTCCGAAGGCAGAACCCCATTAATTAACAGCACAGACTCACACCATAGCCAAGACGAGGGGGGAAAACCTCAGTCATGCACAGTCATGCACATGTGGGGGCTAAATGAGGACGAAGACCGGGCAGAGAGCAGGGTTCAAATCACCCCACCTGGCCAGGACAATCCCTGGGTGCTCCCTTGGGCCACTCGCCTGACCCACCTCGCAGGGCTGTTGTTGCATGGATAACACGGGGAGAACCACGCGCGCCCCCGGGAGCTCCTTGGAGGAGAAAGCGGGCGATGAATGCAATGCACGAAATATATGAGAGGCGACCAGGTTTTGCAGGTGAGGGGCCCCCGCCAGCCTCCGCTTCCAACACCCGGTGCAACGACGCCGAAGTTTCCCCCCGGGCTCGGCTCGGGGAGCAGCGCTGCTCCCCCCCAGCTCCCCTTCGCCCTCCCGGCTCTCTCTGCCGCCCACTGGGGACCCCCCTCACCTGCCAAGTCCGGAGCGCCGGTGGAAGTTGCATGCATGCATGCAGGGCGCCGCGTTGCCATTGCATTGCACTGCACTCCATGCAACGCCTGCACGCATGCATTGCCTTGCACGCCCGCCAAGGGGTCTCCCCGCGGTCCGATGCGTCCCCTCCGGCGCGGATGCAGCATTGCAAAAATAAAAAACCCCCGACGCAGCCCTACCTGGGGGGCAGCCTCCGCCTCCGCCGCTCCGCCTCCGCGGGGATCCCCGGGCTCCATCCTGCCGCCCGATCTCCGGGGGGCGCAGGCAGGCTGCGCGGGGTCTGCGCGGAAGAGCCCCTGCCCGCCCGGCCGCCGCCGCTGCGCTCATTCCATGGCCGGGAGAAGAGTGCTTCAAACAAAACGCCCGGCCCGCCAGGCCACGCTGGGAAACGTAGTTTGCGCACCCCGCGCGGGCGCGGAGCCCAAGGGCGAGGGGACTATGGATCCCGGCAGCCCCCGCGCCGAGGACGGAGGGGGAGAGGCCGGGTGCAGGGATGGAGGGACGGGTGGGCGAGCGAGTGAGTGAGTGGCAGCTGCCAAGCCTTGGCCGAGAGCCAGGAAGGGCCTCCCCGGAGGAGGAGGAGGAGGAGGGAGGCGCAGAGCGGGAGGGAGGGAGGGAACCCCAGGGGTCATCTAGTGACGGCGCCCCAATCGAAAATTTGACTTTAAAAAAAAAATCTTTCAATTTTTTAATTTTTCCCGCGGCACACCAGGCAACATCTCGCGGCACACTAGTGTGCCGCGGAACAGTGGTTGGGAAACACTGTCCTAGTCGGTGGTTCACCACCTGCCAGTTTTGGAGGGATGGATGAAGCTCTCAGCTGAGGTGTGGGGAACACCCCACGGGCATCTCTGATAGGCATTTAAAGAAAAAATGGTGATTTGTGGCTTCAGGAATCTCAGCCAAAGCCTCCATGGCTGGGTGGTGGAACGGTGGGGGGGGGCAGCACTGCCATGGGGTGACTCACCCCTAGCAGGATGAGGTCATGAAGCCCAGAAGAGCCATTGTGGGGTGTGGACAGGCTCCATAAAGGACTGCTGCTGCTGCTGCTGCTGATGCCCAGGACTGACCTGCTGGGAGCCCAAAGGGCCCTGCTCTGCCTCTCTCCACCTGGCTTGGGGGGGGGGGGCTGACAGGCTCCATAAAGGAGTGCTTCTGCTGCTCAAACAGGGGGGGCTCCTTTTTAAAATTGTTTTTATTTTTTATTTATGTTATTTTAAATTGTAATTGATATTAATGTTGTCTTTTTAGTTTTGGATTTTATGATTTATGTGGAAATTGTTTCCCATTTGGTTGTGTACCTTTTGATATGTTTTATTTATTGTTTATCACTTTTGTTATGTGGGTAATTATGTAAATCTTGTCGTGTTGTACGCCACGTTGAGCATTGTTTTAACTATGGAAAGGCGGCATACAAACAAAATGATGATGATCTGGCCCTGCCTCGTCGGACACCAAAGGAGCCCAGCCAAAGGTTAGCCCCAAAACGCTACTCTGCCCCCTCCCCTCTATCCCCGTCTAGCAGTGCATCGAAATCATGCGCACACAGCTGAGAAGGCTTTGCTGCGGCAGGACCAAACGGCGACTCACCCCAGCAGGTGAAAAAGCAAAATGAGTAAAAAATCAATTAAAATGCAGCTAAAGACCCAAGAGCAATGAAACACATGGGACGCCTTTTCACCCCAAAAATAATCCGTGGGTCCCTGAAGGCATCTAGGTCATGTGCT